GTGTTTTACAAGTAACGAAAATTTTAGAAACACTGCCATTTGCAACTAAATTAAGTCATATACAAACATTTTTGCAGAGTGGAAAGTAGGTTGAGGATTCTTTTAATGATTGGTTGGATAGATCATTGGGTCATTGGGTGGTTTCTTTTTAAATTAATTGTTTTTTTAACTTAATTTCAATTTCAGTCACATTTTGTTTGAAGAAAAACTTTGTTCTCTTTCTTAGAATACCAGCAGTGGCTTTAGCTGGCCTCAGTTATCATCCCAATATGGAGATGCTCCCGACAAGCCGATGCTTTTTTTGGCATTCACACAGGCCGGTTTAGTTTGTAAACGTATAATTTTATAAACTATATGCTTATATGTTTCTGGTTTGAACGTACAATTAAGTACTATGTATAACTAAAACAAAAACAAAACAAACTTTGAAAAATATTCCAAACAATTGCTAAAAAGTTTCTTCATCTTAAGTTTTTGAAAAACTGATACCGAAAGCCCTATGCTAAGCTTAAACAAATACAGGGTGCTTTACTAGTAACGAAAGTTTTAGAAACACTGCCATTTGCAACTAAATTGAGTCATATACAAACATTTTTTTCAGAGTGGAAAGTAAGATGAGGATTCTTTTTATGACTGGTTGGATAGATTAATGGGTGGTTGGGTGGTTTCTTTTTAATTTAATTATTTTTTTAACTTATTTCAATTTCAGTCACATTTTGTTTGAAGAAGAACTTTGCTCCCTTTCTTAGAATACCAGCAGTGGCTTTAGCTGGCCTCAATTATCATCCCAATATGGAGATGCTCCCGACAAACCGATGCTTTTTTTGGCATTCACACAGGCCGAACCAGTTTGTAAACGTTTAATTTTATAAACTACATGCTTATAAGTTTCTGGTTTGAACGTGAAATTAAGTACTATGTATAACTAAAACAAAAACAAAAAAAAAACTTTGAAAAATATTCCAAACAATTGCTAAAAAGTTTTTTCATCTTAAGTTTTTGAAAAACTGATACCGAAAGCCCTAAGCTAAGCTTTAACAAATACAGGATGTTTTCTTAGTAACAAAAATTTTAGAAACACTGCCATTTGCAACTAAATTGAGTCATATACAAACATTTTTGCAGAAAGGAAAGTAGGTTGAGGATTCTTTTAATGATTGGTTGGATAGATTATTGGGTCATTGGGTGGTTTCTTTTTAAATTAATTGTTTTTTTTAACTTAAATCAATTTCAGTCACCTTTTGTTTGAAGAAGAACTTTGTTCCCTTTCTTAGAATAACAGCAGTGGCTTTAGCTGGCCTCAATTATCATCCCAATATGGAGATGCTCCCGACAAGCCGATGCTTTTTTTTGGCATTCACACAGGCCGAACCATGTTGTAAACGTAAAATTTTATAAACTATATGCTTATAAGTTTCTGGTTTGAACGTGAAATTAAGTACTAAGTATAACTAAAACAAAAAAAAAACTTTGAAAATTGTTCCAAACAATTGCTAAAAAGTTTTTTCATCTTAAGTTTTTGAAAAACTGATACCAAAAACCTTAAGCTAAGCTTCAACAAATACAGGGTGTTTTACTAAGAACGAAAATTTTAGAAACACTGCCATTTGCAATTAAAGTGAGTCATATACAAACTATTTTTTTAGAGTGGAAAGTAAGATGAGGATTCTTTTAATGACTGGTTGGATAGATTAATGGGTGTCTGGGTGGTTTCTTTTTAATTCAATTGTTTTTTTTTTAACTTAAATCAATTTCAGTCACCTTTTGTTTGAAGAAGAATTTGTTCCCTTTCTTAGAATACCAGCAGTGGCTTTAGCTGGCCTCAATTATCATCCCAACATGGAGATGCTACCGACAAGCCGATGCTTTTTTTGCATTCACACAGGCCGAACCAGTTTGTAAACGTTTAATTTTATAAACTATATGCTTATAAGTTTCTGGTTTGAACGTGAAATTAAGTACTATGTATAACTAAAACAAAAACAAAACAAAACTTTGAAAAATGTTCCAAACAATTGCTAAAAAGTTTTTTCATCTTAAGTTTTTGAAAAACTGATACCGAAAGCCCTAAGCTAAGCTTAAACAAATACAGGGTGCTTTACTAGTAACGAAAATTTTAGAAACACTGCCATTTGCAACTAAATTGAGTCATATACAAACATTTTTTTCAGATGAGGAGTGGAAAGTAAGATGAGGATTCTTTTAATGACTGGTTGGATAGATTAATGGGTGGTTGGGTGGTTTCTCTTTAATTTAATTGTTTTTTTTAACTTAAATCAATTTCAGTCACTTTTTGTTTGAAGAAGAACTTTGTTCCCTTTCTTAGAATACCAGCAGTGGCTTTAGCTGGCCACAATTATTTTCGCAAAATGGAGATGCTCCCGACAAGCCGATGCTTTTTTTGGCATTCACACAAGCCGATTTAGTTTGTAAACGTATAATTTTATAAACTGTATGCTTATAGTTTTCTGGTTTGAACGTAAGATTAAGTACTATGTATAATTATAACAAAAACAAAACAATTTTTCGAAAGTGTTCCAAACATTTGTTCATCTCAAATCAGTAATCAGTAAAATGATCAAATTGTTTTTGCTCTGGAATAAGGCAAGATTTTTTTCACGCAAGGTAACATAATGAACCACAAGTAAGTTTGTACCGAACTAAAGAAGTCCGTTCAGTAATTAAAGCAGCAAAATCTTCTCAGGTCTGAAGAAAAGTTTTCAGCGGTACAAGTTGATTCATTTTAGGTCAATACGGGGCGAATCTTGCTAGTTTAGATCAATAAGTTCCGAGTTTTGACCGCAAAATTTCGTTTCGGGCGAACGTTCTCCCCCAAAAAAACAATAAATTGGCGACCGAGAATAAATGTGGTAAAATAGTACCAAAAGGTGAATCTTTGGGTTATGCGGGGTTCATGAATTGCTGTTAGTTAATGTATTCTTTCACAGCAGTTCAATGATTATCTATCCCAACGCTTGGTAAGTGCAGTTATCGAAATAAATAACAATAAACTTCTTATTTGCTTTTTACAACCAACCAGAAACAGCATTTATTGCTGCAGTTTTTTCGACTTCTAGAAAATGTTGATTTGCTAAAACTTTATGAAAATGATCCTATCATAGTTTAAGGGCTTATCAACTTTCCAAAAACAAGAAGCGATATTATTGATACGAGGGTTCTAATCATGGGCTGGATCCACAATTTTTTGGGAGATGCACAGATTTTCAAAAAAATCCAAAACTTTGTTTTTTTGTGAACATTTATTGAGGTCGACCGCATTGATTTTCGGAGGACTCCCAGAAAACTATGAAGACCCTACTTTTGTAGACCCTGATGAAAACCCTATTAATTTTTCGCGCCGAAAGTTTTGAAAAAAAAGGTCAAAAATTCAACTTCTGTGCACTCATTTGAAGGTTTTGTGCACTCGCTCCTATCAAAAAAAATATGGTGCTAGATAAGTAAGTCGTTTTATCATTAAACCAAAAACGGGCGGACCAGATCAGTGAACCGAAAACTCATGATCAATTTTTAAATCACATTAGCTAAAAAACTGAGATTTTTACAAAATGACAAAATTTTTCCTCAATACAAAAACTGAATTAAAAAATGGAATAAAATAACTCTTCCCATGCGCCCGGTAGTTTTGAAATCAATGTTCTAGCTCAGCAAACCAATGTTCTATAAATCTTTAATTCCGCACTTGATGTAATTATTACGTAAATCGGTTTACTGATCTGGTAATTTACTGACACATCGGCTTACTGTACGCACCCCGCTAATATATTCTTGCATCCAACGCGCCTTTAAAAAATTTTAGAAAAATTTTTTAAGGCGCGTTTGACAAAAGAATATATATTAACGGGTTGCGTACAGTAAACCGATGTGCCAGTAAATTATCAGATCAGTAAACCGATTTACGTAATAATTACATCAATTGCGGAATTAAAAACTTTTAGAACAAATGTTGTCTGGATGTCGTAAAATAGCACCGAAACGACCCTAAGGGTGGTGAAGTGGTCGAATCCCTGGAAATGTCCGTAACCTCCCCCCTCCCCAAGTGAACCTGAAGTTCTGGGTTTTTTTTTGATAGACACTGTTTACAACAAGCTGTAAATTTTCCCACGCTTGGCAAAAAAAAAAACATTTTGAATTTTGTTCTTTATAAAAATATATTGCTGACTAAAAGTATTGATCTATATATACCAGGAGCGGATCTAGAATTTTCCAAAATTTTCTTTTCTTTAGGTCGACCAAATTGATTTTCCGAGCTCTCCCAAAGCACTAAAAAGACAGTTTTTGGCCAAATTTTCATCGCCGCAGGCAAAATTTTGAAAAAACAGGCCAAAATAGGCGTTTTTTGCACTTTTTCCCCCTCCCCCCTCAAAATTAGTGTAGATTGGCGCCAAAGGCCACTTATAAAAGTTTTTAGGTTCCGTCACCAAAACGGACTTCTCAAAATACTACAAAAGGGGGATCCCTGAGGAAGGGGGCATACTCCACCCGGTCCCCTAAGTCCGCCCCTGATTTGGTTTGTTTTTTGTCAGATTTCTACAGAATTTACGTTTTATTTGCCAGAACACTTGTTTTTCCTTGGTTTTAGTAGTCCTATTTTGAGAAATTGACTTAAATGCACAATGTTTGTTTGTTTTTCAGAGGTATGGGATTAAGCATTTTACAAACATCGTATGAAATCATCATCATACGATTCCATTGAATGGAAAAAAATGCCTATCATACAATTCCCTTGTATGGAAAAAAGGGTTATCATATGATTTTCATACGACTTTTTTATTCTATGGAATTGTATGGAACTGTATGATAAGCATTTTTCCATAGTATGGAATTGTATGATAAGCATTCTTTTTCAACCCGGGAGGTTAGCAAAATGTCAATTTTCTGTTGATTTTGTCGGAAAATTTTTCAACCTGAGCAAATTGGTAACCCTGGATCCGCCCCTGGTCTGTTTGATAGAAATTTAATCAGATGTCAAAATATTTCAGGGCTACTGTGATCTCCAGATGCCCAATGAACCTCAAGTTTTTCCCGATGGACAGACAGATCTGCGAACTCAGAATCGCCAGCTGTGAGTATCCATTCAACAATTGATCTCAGCAGCCATCTTTGCGTTTCGCCTTCTGTCCACTCATTATCTCATACTGAGCAACTAAGACCACATTTGCCTGTCTGTCGTTCATTCGACCCTGAATTTGACACAAAAATAACAACCGCTGAAAGCTCTTTTGTTTCAACCCAGACTTTAATAATCTGGAGATTTAATAAATTTTATACTCGCAGAAGAGTACTTTTTAAACCATAGTGAAGAGGTATATACTTTTGAATAGAACTGGATTTATGAGTGAAAACAAGACTTATCAGAGATAAGAGTGGGGGAATTAGATTAGTTTAGAAAGGTTAACTGCCTCCTGTGGGCACGGTAGTGTATGTTGTGCTGAACTACTTGGCCTGTCCCGCAGAGATTGATTTCCTCATCTCTCTGGGTAGAGGGCAGAGGAAGATAGAGAGTTGGACAGAGATATTGAGATGCACAGTCACAGTAGGCATGATAAGCAACACTGACCATGCAACCAGCATACTGGTCGTAGAGAAAATCTGGTCGAAGAAAAACTACCATTTTACTAATGTCTGATATATGTTCTTAATACAGGTCCTCAGCGTATTAAAAAATTGAAGGTTTCTACGGAAAATGTTTCTTTTTTGTGCTACTGTGTTTGAGACAAATTGATTTAACTTGGAAATTCAAGAAAACCTTTGATTATACTTGTTCTTCTGTATCCTAAAAGTTTTAGAACCACTGGAGAATCGGGTTTCAGATCCATCGGCATAGCGACACGTCTCATGGCTGCTCAAAGCCCTGGCTCCGAAGTAACTCCTAGCTACCTGTGGGTGCTTTTAGCGGCGGCACCCGCACTCAAACACGCTAGTTCTAACACTCACCCTTGTGTAAACTTTTACTTGAACAAATGGGCATTTATTGCCTTGAGGGGGTTGATGAGATATTGATTTCCGGATTAGTTCTGGCTTTCATCTTTCGGACGATCTTAGGGTAGCAAACCTTGGCTTATTACAATAATGTAGTGCAGCAACACATGCGACTAGAGATTGCTGAAAGGAGTTTGTAGATAATGAAAAAGAAAACGCATCAAAGAGTCTGAAAAAAATGTTTGTCTGGTTTTTTTCAATTTTTAGGGCGGTGGTATTTTGGTGAAAAACGTTATCGGAGCATTTTTTCTAGGTTGTAAGTTTCGAGTTTTTTCAGCTCCGAGTTATCATATTTAACAAAAATTATTTCTGCGCCGTAGGATATTAATTGATCTTTTGAGCAAGAAATGGCCCAAAAAAGCATTTTTGGTATTCGCCCGCCCATCAAAATAAGTAATGTAGGCGCCTTTGAAAAAGGTTTGGGTTGGTGTCTTTGGTACGCTCGAGCTCTCGATGGTTCCTCGAACTAATTTGCAATCAGTTTCACATTTTTTAGTTTTTTGCAAAATATATTTGACAGGATCTGTGTTACAAGGGTTGTAAGTTTCCTTGTGTTTAGATGGATATACGACAGAAGACGTACGCTACAGTTGGCGACACCAACCGGGCAACCCTGCAATCATGATGGCCCAGGACACTACTCTCTCTAACTTCCGAGTCGAAAACTTGTCCCTATCGACGTTCAACAGATCCCTATCAACAGGTTTGTAGATTTTTGTGATAATCTCATTGAATCATGCCGTACTCCTTCTCTTCTAATATGGCCCCGACAAAAAGTATAGCTCTCAATTGTATAAGAGAGCAACAGTGGTCAGGCTATATTTATAGCTATTAAACTAGAGGCTACTAAAGTCGGAAAGAGCAAAAATTATCAAGATACAAACAAGGATAGCCGTTTACTGAGCAAGTAGCACAGAATTTTCCGAGCACAGTCTTAAAAAGTACAAAAAAAAATGTTTTTTTTTTGTTAAATTGGTGTCGTTTGTTTCTGCATGATGTGAAAAAAAAAGATCTGAACAAAAATAGAACTTAGGCATATTTGAGAGTCAAAGTAAAATAGGTCAATTGGAAAACAGTTTTTGACGAAAAATGATTTGAAAAACGAAAAAAAAAACATTGATAAAATTTTTAAAATGTTTTCAAATTTTTTTGCAGAAACTTTTCCACCTTCTAAGTTTTTGATTCCCAAAATTGCGCTAAAAAACTTCAAAAGCTACCTTTACTTCAAAAAAACTAAGTTTTCATGGCTTAAATTAAGCTTAAATAAGAAATTGGAAGCCTACGCGGCCACCTTATTAGCTCGAAATTAAACAAACAAAAATTTAAACAGTTTTTTCTCAACACTATTTTTAAAAATTCAATTTTTTTTTAATTCAAAATTTTTAATGTAGTTCAAATTACGAACAAAAAGGCTTTTTTATGATATATCACTCAACCCGTTCCAATGATTACTTATGGCACCTGATTTTGCGTCATAAACAAAAAACTAAAACACATGCGAATACGAAGTTCCTCCTCATTTTCAATGGTCGGGACAATAACGAGTAACTTTTGAAAACAAGAGAAAATAGAAAAAGAAAACGGTCTACCGCCATTAATAGCATTTAATGATGCCAATAAAAAATTTAATGGCACCTCAGACCTAACTTTTGGTAAGGGAAGTTAAGAGCTACTTAACAAAGTCTTTTTTTGCTTTACACAAATAAAAAAAAGGACTTGAAAAGCATGGCGAGCTTTCCTCTTTGTTAGTTACTGAACAAAACTAATATTGTAACTTTATCACTTGCTAATTTCTTTTCAAAATACTTGCATGGTATACAAAATTTCCAATGTAGTTCGTTTTTTGATCTGTTCGGTTTTTTGTCTAAATCAGCACAGTATCACTAACTTTTTTATGGTTGAAAACATATCTGGAAACAAATTTTCGCAGCACTTTGTAGCCAACTTGAACACTAGTGGAAGTTTCAACAGCTATTTTTTGTCCAAAAGAAAATTTTATTTACTGCAGCCAACTGTAGCGTCTTATGCAGCGATACATCTCCACTGAATTCCAAAATTTTAATTCCTGAGCGGCCGAAATTTCCTTTGCTGTGTTGAAACAAATTTTGGCAGTTATAATGATACTTTTTTAAAACACAAAAATAAATAGAAAAAGGAAAAATTTTTTTCTAATAAGCTGAAGGCTATAGAAAAAAAGCATGCCATTTCAACTTTGATAAGCTTAAGCACATTTTTGTTAAGCCCATGTTTGCAAAATCAAAGCCACTTATATAAAACAGCAATTAACGACAAAAAATATCGAAGAAGCCACGCATAAAATGAGACAAAACACAACAAACAAACTTTTTTGATCAGTGATTTTTGAAAAAACTGATTTCGCAAAAACTTAATGTTTAGTGTTCCAATCACAGCGCGCGCACTCTAACGAATAAAAACAGTTTTAAAGCAGAAAAGCAAGCTTTAGAAATGCATTTATTTGAAGCAGTTATCATTGTCATGGTGACAGTCGTGTACTTTGACTACATATAAAACAAAAACTGAAACTAAACGAAAAATTTTTGTACAGTTTCGAAGAGATGAAACGAACGAAGTCTTTTCACGTTTCTGCCATTTTCTCTGCAGCCATTGAAACTTCGCGGTTGAAATTTTGACATACAGTGAATTAAACTTTTAACACATTTATCGGACAACGTATTGAACTTTTGAAATAATTCTGACCTTCAGAATTTCGCGTTTGTGTTTTTGTGGGCGTTTTATGAGTGTTTTCCTTCTAAAAGTTGCATGTCAGACCGCTGTTTGTTGAAACTTCTTTTGAAGCTACGGGCTTGAATTTAAGCAAAAACATTGAACTCTGTAAAAGCGCATGCTTCTGGATTTGATATTTTGTAACTTCAAACGTAATTTTGAAACTTCGGTTGCAGAGCTTCTAACAAATGTATCGCACAATGCCTACTGACAACTTTCGAAATAATTCTGACCTTTAAGTTGAAACTTTTTAGAGGTAGTTCTCCGAAGTTTTGCGTTTGCATTTTTATCGGCGTTTTACGTGTTCTTTTTCTCTTGAAAAAATTCATGTCAGATCGCTGCTAAATGCAAAGTGTTTTGTAGTCAATGGGTTGAAGTTATAGAAGTTGCAAAAAGTTGGAACCAACAGAATTAATTAGAAAAGAGCAATTATCATAAATCAAAAAACTTTTCTTGCAAAAACAAGTTTTTCAGACAAAACGAATATGTCAAGGTCGCCTAAAAAATCAAACTTGCATGCAAAAGTTGCTCGTAATTGTTTTTGTATTTAATTTTGTCCATTCCAACTTTTTGCCATTATCAAAAGCAAAAAAGTGGAACAAACAAAAATAACTAAGAAAAGCAATCAGCCAATTTTGAGCAATTTTTGCTTGCAAATTTGAGTTTTAGGGTTTTGTCTGAAAAATTAACTTCTGAACGCAAAAGTTTTCTGAAATAGATCATTTGCTCTTTTCAATTAATTTGTCTGTTTCACCTTTTTGCAACTCTCTATACTTATTATATATTAAAAAATGACCCCTGAAAAAACGCAATAACTTTGGTTTGTTTTTATGACAGTTCAAATAAAAATTGGGGTGTATTTTCAAATCAATTTTACTGTTTCAAGGTCAAAACCGTTTCAGAAATATAAGAAGTTGTCCGCTAAATTTTTAAAAACTAAATCTCACTATCTCGAGATCAAAATTATTTCAAAAATTTACGACCTAGTCCGATAAATTAGATAAAAGCTATATTAGAATATAACCAAATATATAACCGTAAAAAGTTGTTGTTAAGCTGTTTTTTGCTGTTTTAGCTGGAGGGCATCAAGGAGCTGTTTTTAGTGCGAAAAAATCCCCGTAACGGCGGAAGCAGTTTCAAATTTTGGCCTCAAAATATTCGTTTGACATTTAAAGGACTCCATATTTGTATCCTATCAGATAAAAAACTGAACAACCTTAAGACTCTTAGACTCAAAATGACTCACAATTCAGCTAGTTATTCAGTAAAAAGCCAAAATTTTGAGTATAATTTTTTCTGATGGGACAAGTAAACTAATTGAAGTACAAGCTTGGAGACTCAGCGTTCCAACGAAAAATTTTTACTCCAATATTTCAAATTTCTTCCTGCCGTTACAGGTAGTTTTGGCACTAAAACGAGGTTTTTGAAGCCATATAGTCAAACAAAGGCTTGAAAACAATTTTCTACGGTTTTTATTTGGCTATTCTTAACCAAATGGTTTCCTTCACCAATTCTCAAAATTTCAACCGTGAACTTTTATTGGTTGCAGAGAAAACCGCAGAACGTGAAAAAAGGGTTCATTTTATTACTTGAAAACGAAATGTTACCACCTCTATGTCCCACGACTATACAAAAAACAAGGAGCAATAGTGCGGACTTCGTTTCTCAGATCCCAACAATTTAACAAACTGTTTCATCTGCATTATCATGACTGGTTTATACAAAACAACAAAAAAACAGCATTGAAAAACCATCTGCATTAATTTTGATTTCATGCGGTTAATTTGTTTGCTTGTTATGTTCTTCTTAAGGAAACCAATTGAAAAACAAAACAAGACTGCTCGTATCAGGGCGAAGCCCTGAATGTTCCGACTGCCTTTTAAGGTTTATTGAGCAACAGTAATACATTAACAAAAATTAATGAAATAAAATAAAATGAATTTTTTTTTTAATTTGAAAATTTTTTATGAAAATCATCCCCCCACACGCCATATAAAGTACAAAAAGATAGATTTCGTTCCTTGTAACAAATCAATTATGGCAAATAAGCTTAGTTCAACCAATTTGGAACGATTTATAAGACGGACTAAATCTCGCTTACGCGTTAATAGCGCGAATTATATTGCCCGTTAATTGTCCCAAATTGGTCAAAATGGCAATCTTTAAACCCTCATAACTTTACGAAAAATGATCACAGGTAAAATATCTTTTCAAATTTAAGCTCAGGACAACAATACCTTTTGAATGATATAAAAAAATTCCGTCAAAAATGACTAGTTAAAAAGTCGAAATTTGTCCGAAGAAAAAAAACCCACCCCGAGCACAAATATTCCGTTACTTTCGTATCGAAAGTCGGAACAACAACAAATCAATTAAAAGACTAGTTAAAATGAAATTTAGCAAAACCTTAACTTAAATAACAAAAACTTCAAAGAGTTTTTAGGATTGGATTAAAACCATTGCTAGCTAAATTGCCAATCTAAATGTGGATTGTGTAAGATGTAAGGGCACTAAACGCACTACATGTAAAATATATGAGACCTCAACTTTTAAAAAATCTAATTGAAAACAAGAACTTAATTCTTTCAAATTCAAAATTTGCTACTTGTCAAATGAAATCTTGTCACAAAAAAGCTGCAATTAATTACAGCTGTATATTTTGTTACTGCGTTTCCCAAAACGAAAAAAAAAGAGAAAAAAGATAACCAAACAGAAGCGAAACAGAGCTTCGCGCTACTTGCAATGAAAAAAAAATGTAAATCTCGAAAAAAAGTGATTTGAAATCAGATGGAAAAATGTAACAAAGTATGTAAAATTTTAGCAAACAACAAAATTTGTGAACTCCAACTGATGTTTTTAACTGGCCAGCTAAATAAACAATACTCCTCAACTGAAAACACTTTAAACGTTTCTAGAAACAGAAAACTAATGAAAATGATAAAGTTCAAAAACAGTTACAACACAATTCAAAACGTAATATTTATTCTTCTTTCTTAAGAAAAAATTGGCGAGAAAAAACTCAAATCAAACAAAGATGTGGACACAAGAAAGAGATGCTGCTAAAAACAAATAATTTTGAAGTTTGAAACCAAAAACATACCCTGATTTTGATTCCCAAAAAAACTCCCGTCACACAAAAACAAATTTAAAGAAAAAAAGTTGAGCAGAATCTCGGACAAAAAACGCAATTAAACTAATATCGTTTAAAAAGGCAAAAAAAGAGTTATCATTGAGACAATTTAGATTAAATTTATGAGAAATTTATAAAATAAAAATTGCGTCGACTAATTGTGAAGAAAATTATGACAAATTTTGAGTTGATTTAATTCTAATTTGATAGGACTACAGGATTGCTTGGTCTTTATTTTTCAAACAAAATAGATACTTTTTTTAAAAAAAACTTGAAATCCAATGAAAAAAAAAACAAAAAACAAAAAGCAAAAAAAAACATTAACAAAAAACAACAAAAAATTGAACCAATTCTATTACTTGAATTGAGAAAAAAAGACATTTTTAAAACTTGAAAAAATTTTGAAAAAAAAGTTGATTTGATTTTTTCTAAAATTTCACATTAGGAATCAATCACTTTTATATAAAAACAAAGGAGGTTAATCGAAAAAAAACTATTCTGAAAATTAGCCGACCTTTTCCAGAGGTCATGATAAGCATTTCAATTCGTCCATTCTGTGAATAAAGTTGTTTACGGGGAAAACGGTCCAGTACTAGTAGTTGGGTAATAACTTTGCTTGTAGCAAGGGTAAATATATATTAGTAACAAGTTTGCTGTGCAAGTAGAACAGAATGTTCCGACCCGTTTCATATGAACTTCATACAAAAGTTTTTTAACTTTTAAAGTTCTTCAAACTTTGGACCAGTTTGTACGTGGTAGGGCGAAAAAATTTATACACAAATGTAAGATAAAAAGATATTAGGCATAATTGAAAACAGTTGTCTGCAAAATAAAAGAAAAAAAATTGTCGAAAAAAATGTCGAATGTTTTTTGCACAATATAATTTTTAAAATTTTATTTATTTTTTCTTGCCATGGAAAAAACAAAAAAAAACTTTCAAAACTAGTTTCCGTTTGAAAACATGATTTTTCAAGCCTAAATAACCACTTTAACAAGTAATCAAAATTATTAATCGAGTATTAGGTCAAAAATTGGCGAATAAGCATTCAAAGTGTTTTTTATGACTGGGAAAGTTTTCTGGAAGTTTTTTCAATGCCCTGCGAATCACGGCTGAAAGAGCTTCAGAGCGTCAATATGATATATCCCTCAACCCAGTCACATGGTTCTTTGTGATACCTGATTTTGCATAAAACAAAAAAGTAAAACACACCCGAATACAAAGCCCCACCCCCCACTTTCAATGGTCAGAACAAAAACATAACAAAATATAGGTACATAAAATTCATATAGTGGTCTTCATATAGTTTCGATTATTAGATTAGCAAGCTTTACCAAGTTAAACGCATGAAAAAAAAATGATTCATAGATAGATGTGGTCAAAATGATTAAAGATGATGAAAACTCGACAAACCACTTTAGTTGTGTGGTCGAGAAGCTTGGTAGTCAATTACAAAGATAAAAATACCAACAACACCAAAAAATTCTTGACTTGTGCTCAAAAATTTTTGACTTGTGAGTGGACTCAAACATAACAATTTTTTTTCATGATCAAAAACGACTGATAGTACGCTGATTTTGGATATAATTTTGTCGTATAGATAGATACCATTGCTCAATGTACAATGTATGAAGACAGTATACAAATGTTTTTTTATCTGCAGTTTTCCTGATTATCCAAAAAGAGTGTTGCCACTTTTTCCAAAAGTTCTACTCTTTGATACTATTTTATGTCAGCGGTTTTTTGCTGACCAACTTTTCAAAGTACTCTAAGTATTTAAAGCCGACCAATTTCAAAGAATTCTTAGAGCCCCATCGACGCCAAAAAACATCATTAAGGGGAAGCGAGCGCCAAAAAGAAAGCAATTTTTTTTGGGAAAGCAATCCAAAAATGCTCAAAAAAGTTTTTTTTTTGAAAAACATAAAAAAATGAAGGGGTGCAAGATGTTCGCATATTGAGCTTTTCAGATTTTGAAACCCACCCAATCTCCGTTTTACCATCAAGATTTATGAAGAGGTAGTTAGCTCGTTCATTTTTCGAAAGATGCATTTTTTCTATTTAGGGTATCTTTATTTAGGGTATCAAAGCCACTTGGAAAAATCAAATTTTGCTAAAAGTTTCAGAGCAGACTTTGCGAAGACATCAGAGATATGAGAAATCAATAACACTGCTTTCGGAAATTGATGGAAAGTCACAGCACATAAAAGTTACCACTTTTTCATTCCAACCAGCAGAAAAAGGAAACAAAAGATAAAGGGTTCAAGTTTTGACAATGTTAGATGGAACTATTTAAAACTACTTAGTCGGGCCTAAGTTTGAAAAATTTTATTAGGACGGCAAAAATACGCCGGTGTATCATAACTAGTTTAAGTAGTAATCTTGCTGTAGATTCATGCTCGCAAACAATATAATGAGCTCTAATTTATGCGCTCAAATTTTTTAAAAGCTGCTGATCTTGATTTACTCTTTATGCCGCTGAAAAACGACAGATAAAAGAATTGAAAGAGTGCCTTGGTCCGCCATCGAAAAACGGCTTAAATTTTAAAATTATTTTAAGCTGATGCTCAAAAAAGTCAACAAAAAACTGTTCCAGTAAATATTTTGGAAAATTTATTGCTCCAGTCTATACAAAAGTCTAAATTTTGCCCAATTTTTAGTGTAAGCTCCCAAAATTTTTTAATGTGTGTCTTAAAAACAAATGTAACCGTTTTTGACGCCGGACCGAGTAATACTAGCCTATCAGCTTCCCAAAAAAACTAATTTGGCTAAGTAATTTCAAAAAGTTTCATCTAGCTCTTGTCAAAATTTTAACCCGATATCTTTCTTTTTGTTCTTTTGCTCGTTGAAATTGAAAAAATGCAACTTATGCCATCCCTATATTATTGTAGCGTATTTTTCCACAGAAAATCTGGTTATTTTGACGGCAACAAGAGAAAAAAATGGTTAACTCGGTAGTTTATTTAGAAATCCTAAATTTTTAGTCCAAAAATGTTTTAAAGAGTTTTTGCCCAAATATTGATAAACGAGGCCCAGTAACGCTTTTTTGTTTAATCTATATTTATTTAGAAACTCAAAACATCCTACAGGATGTTTATGAAGTGATAAATTTTATGAAACCTTTTAACTTGCTTAACAGTATTAATGACAATCGAAGAGAGCTGGATGCTGCACGAGTAGCCCAGAAATTTTTGACCACAATTTAAAAAGTTTAAAAAAAACAAATTTTGCAGTTTGTTTTCGTCAAATTGGGTCGTTTTAAAATGATCTGAACGAAAGGCTTTAGCTCAGACATATTCCATGTTCATAGCAATTGAGGCATAATCAGCAGCAGGTTTCTTCAAAAAAAAAAAACAAAAAAAATAGAGAACAATAAAAATTGAAAATTTAACGAATTTTATGCAAATTTTTTTTAGAGTATCTCAATTTTTTTTTTGTCCAAAGAAGCTGACAAAACACTGTTTTAAAGGCTTAAAAAGCTTACCTTCCTTAATTAAAGCTGTTCGTTTGCTTGATTTGCTAAAAATCAGACTTTAAATCAAAACTTCAAACTGGATTTTGTCTTGAGACTCAGAAAAATGTTTGGCAATTTTAAATGTCGTTAGAATCCGGACAAAAAGTGCTTAATTAAAAAATCATTTAGCTCATTCCGATGGCTTTAAGTGGACAGAACAAGTAATTCTCATGAATGCACAAAAGACAAATTGTTCGTATGAATATCTTTCACAAATTTTCTTGAGGCGATCAAAAATTACCAGGCCTGTTGAATAATTCCTATCACAGCAGAATTTGCTTAGGGCAATCTAGAAAAAATCTCTAAACATCCTTCGAAGACAAAGTTCCGTCCCGTTTTCAGTAAAAGAAGCAATTAATTTTTGAGAATGAGCAAATCACAAATTGTGCACAAAAATATTTTTTACAAAAAAACACCAAGCCCTTCGAGTAGTTCGTATCAGAGCAGTGTTTGTTTTTTAGGGCAATTAGGGCAATTTTTTTTAGAAAAAATTAAACACACAGGAAGACAAATTCCTTCCCATTTTCAATGTCGGAACAATTATTTTTGTTCGCATATTGTTCGCGTAAAATAAATTATTGAGAAAATAATTAAAACACAAATTGTTCACATAAAAAGTTCTCAAATTTTTTTCGAGAGACGATCAAAAAACACCAGACTTGCCGAATGATTCCTATCAGTGCAGTTCAGAAAAAAAAAACTTTTATGCGCCCGAAGACAAAGTTCTATCCCAATTTCAGTGGTCGGAATATTTAATTTTCGAGAATGTCACAAGTTGTTCGCATAAATATAGTTAACAATTTTTTGAGAAGCGATCGAAAAGAAAAAGGTCTGTCGAGTGATACCTATCAGAGAGGTGGTTGTTTAGGACAGTGGAGCACACTTTCTGCCAGATTCACCCTTGTCCGAAACACCCTCTATTTCCTCATTCAGATGTATGTGCCTTCTGCACTCATAGTCATGGTCTCATGGGTCTCCTTCTGGCTAGGACACTCCTCAGTGCCAGCCAGGGCTGCACTCGGTACGATCAAAACACAGATACAATGGAACCAAATTTCAAACCAGTAGAAATAGTTTTCACATTCTGTACATTATCTGTGAACGCTAAATTTTTCAATTTGTGGTATGAGCAAATTCAACCTTTCCAAAAATTTGGTAAGTTTTTTTTGAGAAAAAGTGAAGTGAAACTTCCGTAAGCCGTGATTCTTTCATCAAAAATCTTTAATAAAGAGCCAGGCCTCAAATTGGGGGGTCTGGTTTCATCAGGAAGTTGTTCTCCTTCATTACCAATCACTACTTCCCACTTTGATGCTGTTTTACGACCTCTCTTTTTATGCTGATTGGCTCCAAAGTTTTTCAGCAAAGTGAAAGCCGCCTTTGATGACAACGAATCTGTAATGTTTCAGGCATCACCACAGTGTTGACTCTATTGACCATTATCACAGGCAGCAACAACAACATGCCAAAGATTTCTTACATGAAGGCCATAGATGTATACTTCGCCGGATGCTTCTTCTTCGTTTTCTGCTCACTTATAGGTTACGCAATATGTTGTCAATTTTGTTACCAAAAGATTCCAAGTTCGTATATGTTGAACCTTTGAATTCGTGATTAATAACGGTAGATATTCTTAGCAAGGTACCTTAAGGGTGAATAATTTGCAAAGTTTCTAGCAAGTTATGCGGCTATAGTGACTTTTTTCTCGAAACTAGTGACTACTTATAATTTCAGCATTGTGTGATCACAAAGGAGTCGAACTTTCGCTGATCCATCGGATATAACTCGCTGAAAAAAATGACTCCAGTATTGTATTTTTTGTTACTTTTTAAAGAGATAAGAACTCAATAACTTCACCATAATAACAAAACTGACTTAATTAAGTACAAATAATTATTTTTAACCAGATTGCGATTCGTAGCGATCTGTTTACCAAATCATTTTCACAGTATTACAAATATCAGTATGCTTATTTCAAGAAGTGCTTTTAAAATTACTAGCTGATACAAAAAGTAGCATATAAGCACATCGACCATAACAAAATTTTTGAAAAAAGTTAGAAAAAGGAGTGATACTTAGAGCTGAATGTCAATTCTTTTGCAAAACATTCGCACATTGACGCAAAATCATGTCTATGTATTTTTTTTGAAAAGTAAATATAATAAAAGGCAAATTATAGCTCATACTGAAACATGGCTGAGTCAATATATGGAGTTTGGTATTTTCAAACTGCCATGTTACTTTAGAAAAAGTAAATAGATATAGATGCGGTGAGAGATTATTTTAATTATAAAATAACTGAAGAATTGACTTCTGGTAAAATATAAATTCTGACCGTTTCAATTGAAAACAATGGAGCTAAACATTTTTCAACTGTTGTCTATTAAAAGCCTCAGATGAGCAATTTAAAGTTTCTTGATCAATCACAAGATTGTTTGTTTGCGCTGAAAAGTCAGACTGTTGATATGCACACTGTATATGGAAACATGAATAGTGATGAGTTTTAATCGACAGGTGACTCTCTAAATCTTGAAACAGCCTGCTAAGGTTCAGGCTAATTTATTGAAAAAGGAGAGTAAATGAATAAAAACAAGCAGCAAGTCGACAATGGACGTTTTTTCACCAATTTTTTTTGACAGTGACTGTCCATAAGAACTCTATTTCAGATCGCGAGGCGAGAGAAATTAAAGTTCCATTGCTGACTAAAGACTAAAATTTGCTCGAAAAACAAAATCTTGAATTTTGGGAAATAAAAAGCTACAATTGATGCTATCCCGGACCTCATTGAACAGCTAGTCGGGAACTTCGAAAAAAAACTTGACTCTGTTTGTCCAATAATAGACAATACAAAAGCTTTGATACAGTTGTTCACAAAATTTTACGATCAAAATGCGAACGATACGGTTTACGAGGTAGGATTGTTATTCTTTTGAAATCATACCTTGAGAATCGTAAGCAGTACTTTAGACATAATAATTTTTATTTGGAAATTAAGACATAAGTAAACATGAGATAACAGGTACTAATAATTTAGGCAATACAAAAATAACTTTGCAGCGAAATAATTTTAATAAAACAAGCAACATTCTTAAAAAAAGTAGAAAATAAGTTTTAAATTTTATGTAATAAATTTTCACTATAGGCAAATATTTTTTTCTTGAAGAGTTAACAATTAACCATGACTCTTTCAACTCGTTTTTTTTCCAATTAAATAAGAGAAATTTATATTTGTGACAACGAACGTTTTTTAGAATTGTTTAGGTAAGTTTCAATCCTTTTTTTTTTTGTTCATGTCAATTTGATTGCTAAATAATACTTTACGAAATGAAATTTGCATTGGTTCTATTTTTTTAAAGTCCTTTTTGAGTGCTGTCTAGCTGATCTAGTTTTTTTTTTTTAAATATGAAAAAAAGTTTTGCTCATGGAGATGCCACTCGACAAGCGAGGCTGATGCCTTTTTGATATTCTGCCAAGCCGAACCAAATTCTAAAAAATTGTAAGCATACAATTTAATAGAAAGTATGGTTGTAAGTTTCTGGCTTGAAAAAAGTTATAATATTTATGAGAGTTATGATAAAAACTAAATAAAAAATTTCGAAACAGAATTCGCGGCTGTATGTTACTTGGACGTGGCAGCCGACTACGACCCTGATTTCGAAGGGGCATACTTCCGACGACACTCCCACTCATCCGGCAACTATGGACATGGAGCATACTTCTCCCACAGGGACGACAGTGACAGTCCGTCTGAAACAGTCGGTTGCACAGGTGACAGTGGGATCTCATTTAGATCCAGATTCAGAAAAACACCATCAGGACGAGCGTCCGTTGATTCCACTCAGAAATCGCAACTACGTTCTCGATCATTCCGTCGAGATGGTCAAGACACCGGAAGCAAAAGGGAATCGAGATACAGTGGAAAAAGCAGACCTCTCACAGTCCCATATGATCATGTTAAATATCATTCAGACGTTTTTCAAGCCAAATCGAGGAGCCGACGTCACATGCAAAAGTCCAGCGAAGCTCCACTTCACCCCTGGATGCAAATAAAGAATGCTCAGACTAGGAAGTCCGTGAAATCGATACAGGAGGTGCAAGTGGATAACAACCAAGTCCCATTCTCTCTCAGCGATAAGGGCACAAACGCCAAAAAGGTAACATAATGAAAGACGCACATGTTTGATAAATGTGTTCAGTCGAATAAATTGAACTTAAGTTATACATTTCTGATTCCCTAGAGGTGGTTGTTTTTTTTAGTGGCTGTCTTTTGTGAACTCATAAATATCTAAACGTCATAAACAGTGACGGATCTAGGGTTTTCCCGAAGGGGGAGGCGGATTTTCGAAAATTTTATCGACTTTTTTTTCTATTTAGCTAGGCGAAATTGATTTTTTCATCACACCCAAATGACTATAAAGACCCTATGTAGACCAAAATTTCTGCATCGCGGTGCATTAAATAACAGGCCAATCAAGGCGTTTTAATGAACTTTTTGAAAGTTTTGTTAGTATATCCTAGTCAAAATTAGTATATATTTAGGGTAAGACCACCAACAATAGATGTCTTAAAGTAGTACCAAAAGGAGACACATTGAGTCGTTATCAGGGGGGTCGAATCTCTGAAGGAGGCGTTCACCCCCACCTTTCCCACAACCCGCTTCTGGTCACAAAATATCCGTCCTAGGCCTTTCAAGGTCCTAGTTGCCAAAACAACTTACTCGCAAAATACGTGCTAACAAAAACAACCGGTGCATAGTCGTGCACAGATTGTTTGCACTCATTTTAAAAGTATTTTTTTTTTCGCAACTAGCTCAAAGATTTTCTAATTTTGAGGTGCATTCCGGAGGAGGAGACAGCTACACTGCCAATATGAAGATTTTTCCCTATTTCAAACTCAAAGAACTCTTCTGTTGTTGCCCTGCAAAACAAACACAACAACAGCAATACACCAGCTCAATGCCATCCAACAATATGACGCGAACTTGGTCAGATCAGTCACATCTTGCTCCCCAAATCGCAAACTTAGACTGCACAAACGAAGTTCTTTTTGACTCTCGCTTCAATGTAATAGTTGAGCCATTGACCATGCCCGCAAATACTTTATGTGCCACTTCGTCGAGCAAGGTGTTAAACATAAACGGTGGTCAAAGTACATCCGTTATTGGCAAAACTCCTAGAATGACATCGATGGAATTTACAGATGAACATATAGGTTGCAAAGAAGATTTCAGGAACGATGATGACTCGGATACTTCATATAGAATAAGTATGTTGCGAAGTCAATTTACCACTAGAAGTCGTTCAGTTCCGTCGCATAACTCCGATGCTTCTATCAACTTAAGAAGTTACAACAGCCGAGGAGAACTGAAGGTGGTCGGCAAAAGGGAAGAAAACACTGAAGTCGACTGTAACTGGTCATGTAGAGACCTAAAAGGTGAATATTCAGAAGACAAAATTGACACAGAAAAAGTAATTAACTAACTGTGACAGAAGAAAACAATCGGCAGTTTTGAAAAGTTATTTAAATTCTTATGGTTTTTAAATAAAAGCTCTCGGGAAAGGTGAAAACTAGCTCATTAACCCTGATGGCAAATGCTTCTCAATGAACTTAACGTGTTATGCCTATTTTTGAGGGACCATAAAAAAACTAGTCTATTTGGTTACTGTCGCGTCATTTATGTCTCATGAACTTCACCTCGTTTAGACAAATTCAACTCAGGGACAAAAAAGGGAAATGATATCGAGCAGCAGAGGTTTCGGGATGCAGAGGAGAACGTAGAAATAGATTCTCTCTTGGCTAGTAGAAATCCGACTTGCATCATCCACAATGTGGGCATCATTGACCGATATTCTCGCTTCGTATTTCCTCTAGCATACCTGCTTCTGAACCTAATATACTGGTACTACTACAAGCTGACATCATTTTAACAATGTTAGCATAAACAGCGAATTAGAAAAATAATAAATTCATGTTACTATATATAGTAGTTGAAATCTCCAAAAACAAACATTTATTTCCCCTTGTTTTTTTCCACGCTCGGCTTTTTCATATCAAGCTGACTCGCACCATTAGAAATTGCAAGGAAAAACTACTCAATCCCAGATGGGTCTTTTTTATTTTTACCACAAAAAACAGCAGAAAAAAGTCAAACTTACGCAGGAAGCAGGTAATTGATCAAAACATCGTGTTTAATTAAGATTCTGGAAAAAAAAGAAAAAAAAAACTAAACCCGCTAAGGAGCGGGCGGCTGAGGTGCCCGCATCTCATTAAACGTGGTCGGGGCTTCGAGGCCCAAATTAATTCGTGCTTATTAACTGCAGTTGAGGCAACAAATCTCAGCCCAGAAAAATAACCAAGAAAATAGCATGTAGTCACCAAGAGATGAACAACTCATTTCTGTTGCGGATGAATGGCTTCAATCTAAGAAGGGGCTGAAATTCTGAAATAAATAATAAAATTTTAAGCGAAAATCGTGCCACTTGTGATACATAACTACATGCCAAAGTTCGAAAGAGAATCTGGCTCTAACAAAAAAAGAAATAATTAAATGAATTATGTTGAAGAAATTGTTGGCTGAAAACTCGGGAAATTCTATCAACTCTTATAAAACTCATTTACTTTAAAATAGAGGATTCGGTTTACACAAACTCAATTTCTTTCTGATAACTATCAGATGGAAGGGATACCAAAAATCATGATCAAAAGTTTCAAAATTTACCAAGAAACTTCTCTGGAACTCTTGGAATCAAAAAAAAAAAACTGCATGCCTTTCAAGAACATCCGGAAACATCAAAAGGCCTTTTCAATTTCTTGCTAAAAACAAAGATCAGATAACGAACAAAAAATTCAAACAATGAAGTTTCAAAAAACTTGAATACAAAAATTTCAAACAGATACTACAAAAAAGAACATGCAGAAAATATAGAAAACTTAACAAGCCTATGAAATTAAACCAAACATCAAATTTGTCAAATACGAAATTAATACATAACGGTAAGGCAGCTGAACCACTACAAAAAAGATCACAAATAAAAATAAAAACGCCCGTTGGTGAAAAAAAAAAACACGAAATCTCATAATTTTCGAAACAGTTCAACTAGAAACAATCACAATCTTTACTATCGTGCGAAACCTGTCCAACACCTTCGTAGACAATCAGAACTTGAAAGCAACGTTTTTCAGTTTTGCTTTAGACATATATTTAAAAAAAATTTATAAATATGATTTGGAGAAACTTCACCTTTCCAACTTCACTTAACGAAATAGTTAATCAAATTGATTGTCTTGTCTATAAATTCAAAATCAAATAAGCACATTATTATTAGCTGGTATATTTTCACGCACATCCAAACTTCTGTACAAAAAATGATAAAAGTGTTCCAAATGATATTTTTTTCAAAGATGGAATCCTTGCTAAGGATTCAGTTTCTCTCCTTTTTGAAAGCGCTTTCAAATGATCCAAGACGTGTCCTCATCGAAGTTTTTTTGGCAAACTGGTTTGATCTAGCCCGAATAGTTTGTAAATAGCAGAAATGTTTTCGATCACTGAATAGTCAGAAAATCAATTTCTTCAAAAGTGGTTCCTTGTTCTTTTTCTCCTGCGTGAGATGTTTCTTGTAAATTGTTTAAGTTCGCGTTTTGTATCGAAAAAAGTCCAAAATAAATATACTAAAAACGGGGGTTATATCCTATTTTAACTGTTTTTTGGTTCTAATTTGGTTCAGCCTTGATTAAGGCTGACCGCCAAAAAGAGCAATTTGTCTCAAGGACATTACCTACCGGTTCTTGTGGCTAGCTTGCGCCGATTTGTACCAAAAACAGGCAGATGAAAAAAATGTTATATGATATTCTGATCAATAGAAAAATGCCGAAATTAATTTAATGACCGAGTTATTTGCCGAGAAATATCTCTTATTAATTTAACGAATATGGATAAGTTTTGGAGATTAGCGAACATAAAGTTTGACATTTGAAATCATTTTTCTTTCAATAATACTTGCCTTCACCTTAAAATGATTCTAAACAAAACTGCTCAAAATCAAATTTTGATATTATTTTGTGTTCAGCTAACTGCACAATCTATCAGAAAAAAATCAGAACCCGAGTTTTCGAAAAAAAATTCAAACAAGTAAGAAAACTCAAACAAAAATCGCTTCAAAGTTTTTTCGCTTCAAACTAAAAGTTTAAGCGTGTAATAAAAACGTACTGAAAGAAACGTGTCCGCGTGTTACCTTCTTATTATTGAATCAAAAAATTAAAAGTATAAAATTTTCCAAAGAAAGCACTGGGCAATTAAGCCGACAAAAACTGGACCAAAATCAAGTAAGCCTACATAAAACCTTTATTTTCTGAAACAAATTTTTTCCGAAGATCCAGTAACGCATTAAATTTATACACAGTGCTTAGAGCTGTTAAACGTGCAATGCTTTGAATATGGAGATCTTGAAACTGGCCAATATCGAAAAAAGATCTTGAATATTGGACAAACCGATACAATTTAGGCCGAAACCTATCAATCCAAAAAGAGGAAAAAAACAAAAAAGACGAAAATGTTGTCATGAAAAACATAAACTATAAATTCTATTGAGATTTTAAGCATATTGTGCGATCCAGAGATGAGCAAAATACATGTTCTCGTTGAAACGACTCGAAATTAAGTCATTTACTTTATAAAAAACAGACTGAAACCATTCGGACGAAATAAAGTGTTCCAGCGAAAAAAATATATGCGAAGACAAGCTTAAAAAAATCAAAAGCGATAATCAGAATACTAAAAACGATTATGGCAAAAAAATTTTGAAATCTAATTCTACAATATGGCAACTAAGCCGACAAAGCATAAACAGACATTAATAAGCCGACAGTTTTCTTTTGAAACGGACTAATTCTTTTTTGAAAAAAAAACCAGGTCGTGTCAGATTCGAACCCTGGACATTAGCTGTTCCTGGCGCATTCATTCCCTCCAGACCATGTGCGCCGGAGATAAAAAAGAAATTTGAATTTTTTATGAACTGCACTCAAATTCACTATTTTTCAATTTTGACCATTCTGTGAACAAATTTTATACGGGAAACAAAGTCTAGTAACCGATTGCAATACCCTTGCTCATCGCAAGGGTAATAAGGCATATGTAAGACAATACATCATGCGGTAGTTATTTTTCACCTGCTCTTTTCTCAAACTGCAATTTTATAGGCTTCAACGAATTCGGTCGGCAGGGACGGCCACCCAAAAATTGTTTCATTTGGGGGATAAGAGTGAAATTTTTGTATAGAAGTTTTCAAATTTCAGGCCCGTTTTAAAACACATCTGAAAAATTCAAAGTATAAGAAGATGAGACTGCTGATAGAATGTCTTTCAACGTTTATGAATCAGTTTTTGTATACAAAACTCAAAAAATGTCTAAGGGTAAAAAATTATCAAAAATCAGGCCCGTTTCAAAACACATCTGAAAAATTCAAAGTATCAGGACATGAGACTGCTCATAGAATGTCTTCTAACGTTTATGAATTAGTTTTTGTATAGAAAACTCAAAAAATGTTTGAAGGTTAAAAATTATTGAAAACTTTTCTTTTTATTTTGTTGAAAAAAATCTCTCTTTAAGTAATGCAAAATTTAAAAAGTTAGATTTTGCATCTAGTTACATATTAATAAGATTAAATATCTGGCCTAAATTATATTTGAATAGATTTATAGCCGAATTATTTTACGGCTTACGCGTTAATGCCACGAGATTTATTGCACGTCATTCATCCCAATTTCGCCAAATTGTCTATTTTAAAACAGACAAGCGTGTAACGCACCTCCGGTACTCGTATAAAAAATTTGAATGAAAAATTTTGCGAAATTTGTAATTACTAACTTTGTAATTGGGTGCTGTCAGAGTACACTCAAAGAAGGCTGATCCTATTTCCAATATATGCGGTTTATTATGAATACCGGAAATTAGATATGCAATCTTTGAGTGTACTCTGACAGCACCCAATTACAAGGTTAGTAATTACAAATTTCGCAAAGTTTTTCATTCAAATTTTTATACGAGTACCGGAGTTGCGTTACACGCTAGTCTGTTTTAAAATTGACAATTTGGCGAATTTGGGATGAAGGACGTGCAATAAATCTCGTGGCATTAACGCGTAAGCCGTAAAGTAATTCGGCTATAAATCTATTTACATATAATTTAGGCCAGATATTTAGTCTTATTAATATGTAACTAGATGCAAAATATAACTTTTTAAATTTTGCATTACTTTTAGAGAGTTTTTTTTCTAAGAATAAAAAGAAAAAAAATTTCAATAATTTTTTACCCTTAAACATTTTTTGAGTTTTGTATACAAAAACTAATTCATAAACGTTAAAAGACATTCTATGAGCAGTCTCATGTCCTTATACAAAGTTTTTCATTCAAGTTTCTTATACAAAATTTGAAGAACCATAAAATTTTGTAAAGTTTAAAAGTTCTTCGAAAAATTTAAAATGAACTAAGAAATGTCACATCTGGGAAACTTAAAGCAATTGAGAGTCGAATTTGGACCCAAGATTTGCATTTTTTGAGAGTACTCTGATACTATTCTGAGACACTTCACCTTAAGAGACACTTCACCTTAAGCTTTCTAAAAGGGTATTTTTTTGAGAGCCAGAAAAAACACCATATCTTGAAAACTACCAAGATTTTAGCAGTCTTATTTGATGGCGATATTCGCACTCTTTGAAAGCACTCTGACAGCACACAACTACAGGGTTGGGAATTTCACTTTGGTGAATTATTTTGTAATTTGAGTTTTCTGAAAATTTCCAAAAAAATCACAAAAGCCGTCTTATCTCTTTTGTTAAAAAATTTATTTGAGCATTCTTAATTAGAGGCCGAGTTTGCAACCCCTGAGATTACTCTGACTGCCCCAAACTACAGGGTTAGAATTTTCAAAAATTTTTTTGAAAAGTTAATTTTCATGAAACTTTTTTGAAAAAATCACCAAAAACTTCATATCTAGAAAACTGCAAAATTGAGCAGTCATATTTGGAGGCAAAATTTGGAAATCTTGAGAGTAACCTGACAGAGCCTCACTACAGAGATGGTTATTTCAAGTTTTGTGAAATTTTTCATATCTAAGTTTTCTGATAAAATGTGAAAAAAAACATGAAAAACGTCATATCTCGAAAACTACAAGGATTGGAGCAGCCACAATCAGAGGCAAGCTTCGCAGCCCCTGAGAGTACCCTCACAATATCCAACAACAGGAATGAAATCTTCAACGCTTTGAAAGTTTTAAAATCTAAGTTTTTGAAAAATTTTTGAAAAAATTATAAAAAACGTCATATCTCGAAAACTACAAAGATTTGATAAATCAGATTTAGAGGCAAGATTTGCAACTCCTGAGAGTACTCTGACAGCACACAACTACATGGTTGGGAGTTTCACTTTAAATAATTATTTTGTAATTTGAGTTTTCTGAAAATTTCCAAAAAAAATCACAAAAATCGTTTTATCTCTCAAACTAAAAAGATTTGGGCATTCTGAATTAAAGGCCAAATTTGCAACCCCTCAGATTACTCTGACTGCCCCCAACTACAGGGTTAGGAACTTCAAACTTTTTTTTGAAAAAAAAATTAAGTTAATTTTTATGAAAATTTTTTGAAAAAATCACCAAAAAGTTCATATCTAGAAAACTGCAAGGTTTGGAGCAGTCATATTTGGAGGCTAAATTTACAAATTCTGAGAAAACCCTGACAGAGCCTCACTACAGAGAGCGTTATTTCAAGTTTTGTGAAATTTTTTATATCTAAGTTTTCTGCAAAATTTTGAAAAGAAATCCTAAAAAAAAGGTCATATCTCGAAAAATACAAGGATTTGAGAAGTGAAATTTGGAGGCGAAATTCGCAACCCCTGAGAGTACCCTGACAGCATCTAATTACAGGATAAAAAATTTAAAACTTCAAAAAAAATTAATTAAATTTTCTTGAAATTTTTGAGAAATATCGAAAATTGTCTATCTCGTAAACTAAAAGGATTTGGTTATTCATATATGGAGGCCAGAATCGGAAAGCCTGGGAAAACTCTGACAACAGCCCACTATTAGGTTGCTAATTTCAAACTTGATGATATAAACACTGAATTTAAACTGGAAAATCGAAAAAACCTAACCAAAACAATATACGATATATAGCTTAAACGTGAAAAAATTCTTTTGTTAAACATGCAAAAAAATACGCTGAAAAAGCCTAAGTATGGCGAGATAGTGAAACCCGCATTTAAATATATAACAGATAGTAGATAGATGAAAGTTGAAAAATAAGGAGACGGGTAGACAGACAATCAAATTACTTTAAAAAAGCAGGTTTACAGACAGACAGACAGTCAGAGAGAGACTTAATTTGGCCTCGCAAAAAATTTACGGAAAATTATTGACCTTGCAAAAAACTAATTGGAAAATTTTCTTAAGCATTGCAATAACTGATATAGCTTAAACATGAAAAAAAACTTTTTTGTTAAACATGCAAAATTATTATGTAAAATCGACAGCTTGTTGAATTGGGGACGAGCAACATGCGAAACCTCTCACTGCAGGAACGCGGAATCCGCAAATTAGGTAAAATAATGGTTATATTTTTTTAAATAGTAAAAACGCCTGTCAAAAACTCAAAATTAAATGTTTTCTCAATTTAAGAAAAACACACATAAATGGAATTACTTTTGCGAACTGAATTGTGTATATACATAAAAGGTGCAATAAAATTTGCTGAGAAAATTTTACATCACATTTCAAAATTTTCACATCGGAAATCTCCGACGATTGTATTCTGAACTCTGAGCGCTATGAACCTTCGCGTGTATTAGGCATATAACAAAAAAAGTGCTGCATTATGACAAAATTTGGTCAATGACGCAAAATTTACACAGGCGAAGCGGATGCGAGGCAAGGAACCAAAACTTTCGTATGTCTCGGTAAAATATAGCTAAGGGTCCAGTTAAAGCTAGAGATACGTGTTAGATACTCTTAGAGTTTGACATTCTGCCGCAGTATGAAAAGGGTGACTTGAAAAAAAAAAAGACTTTGCCCAAAACCCAAGTTGTTTCTCTACTAAAATGAGAGTGAAAACATTTTTGCAGATATTAAAAATTTCCCAAGGACGTAACACTACTCCAACAAAGAAATTAAAAAACCACTTCTGAAGGAAAACTTTTGCAAACGGCTCTTTCGATCTAACCTTTCATCTCAGATTTGAAAATCAAAAACTTCACATTTCGAAATCCATAAAAATTTTCAGCGAAAAGTATTTCGGGACCACTTCAGCAGAAAAGATCTCGAAAACAGAATTTTTCGATTGACCATTTGAACAGAAATTAGGCAGAGTATTTTGCGAGTAAGTTCAAAAAGTTCCTAAAAAATAAATTTAGTTCTTTGAACATGTTACTTTTTTGAAAGCAATTGTTTTTTTAAAGAAAATGGGGCGTAGCATTTTATAAATGTAGACTTTGAACAACAAGTTTTTTCAATTTAACTCTTGATAACAGATTTGGCAGGATAATCAACGAAAAAAGTGACCAACAAATAAAACAAGCGTTTATTCAGAAGCGATTAACGCAACCTGTAATTTCAATTGAACCCAAAACTCAGATTTGGGAGAATAATTCTCGAGAAAAACCAAGAAACTTCAAAAAACGGTCAAAAAATTCAAAACTATGTTTTTTCCGAAGGCGATAGCTTTTTCTGTCAAAAAATGCAATTAGTTGAATATGCAAAGGAATTTTTTTAGAGTTTTCAGGAAAAAGCGATAAATTCTAGCGTAAAAAATGTGAGTGAAGACTAATGCAGGGATGCTTCCCACTATTCGTTGTCTCCAGTGAACGCACAACCTCAGATTTGTGAGGGTACTTTGTCGAAGGCTACAATTAGAGGGATAAAGTAAAAAGAGACCAGGAGACTATGCAAGCACCCAGGTGATTAGACCGTCTTTCCATTGATACCCCTTTTTTGAAGATGACAGAAGTTTTTGAGAAAATGAAAAATTTATTACGTCTCAAAAAATTAAAAACTTCAGTGAAACACGGCATGCAGGACAATTGAATTTTCAATTAGCAACGGAGCAAAATTTATTGAGCGGAAACCGCAAAAAACTTTTAAGCAGATACCAGTTGAGCCAAAAAACAAGTAGAATTTATTGTTTGCTGTTCCGCATCAAAAAGTAAGCCGAATATCTATGTAAGCTATGAAATTAGCTTCTTCTCAATGTTTGGTGCGCAAGCTATCTATATAGATCAGAAAATCATTGAAGGCAAAAAAAATTAAGTGGGTTTTATTGTAAATGTTCCGAGAATAGCTCAAAGGCCAATTTCAATCAAAGGTTCGGCCGCACAGAAAACTTTTGGGAAGTAGGAGCACATTTGAGTATAATAAGAGCGCAGACAAACACCAGTTTGACTATAAAAAGGTCGATTAAACGTTTTATTAAATACAGCACCTCAATTGTTGGCAAAAACACCCCTGGCAATTGGTCTGATTAATTCTGAGAATTGCGTGACTCAGATCAAATAGCCAAAATGAATCTTAATTTCACGAACAATTTAAATTAAACAAAAAGTGTTTGTTTGTTCTGCTCAGCACGTGCATATTTTACGAAGCGTTCCATTAAAAACTCAAACTGTATACATTTTTCGTTGCTTATATTAACATACGTTCATTCAAATAGTTTTGTTGTAAGCGTATTTTACTGAAATGAACAGCTCCTCCCAGAATGTATTTTCTTCAAGAGAATTCAAATCTCCTCAGTGGAGCAAAGCAATGCCTCATGACGTTTCAACAAACAGTCGAAATTCTCTTCCTCAAGCCCGATCTCTGTTCTCTCGTGGACTCATTGCCACTTCAGACCATCCCCAATCCTCAGTTGTTTGTCTGCGCAAAAGTGTGATAGCTATCGTTTGTTTCATCATCCTAACTGCACTTGCCTTTTTCGCAACTTCAGCGTGGCAGCTGCTACCTCAAGCTCGTCATTTGGACATTTTACAAATTCAAACAAGCAATTTCTTCATATTTATTATCATTCTCGGCATAATTTCCTCGTGTTTCATGATAGCTTTTGCTTGTATGAGTTTTTTCATGGCTGCGAAAGTTGAGAGCCAGTTATATCTTTTCCTATTCGGATGTTTGTCCGGCGGTCTCAGTTGTATTTCGCTGCTCCTCGTGATTTCTTGCATTGCATTCGGTTCTCAGATGGATATATTTGTAGAAATCGACATGAAGCACATCGTGCTGCGCAATTATGCAGGGGAAAATTCACGCCAGCAAATCAGGTACTCGTATATTACCCCTAATATAAAATAATCGTGGAAAAAGATGGAGATTTTTTTTATAAGTTGGTCGAATTTTTCCAAAAAACGTCTAAGAATCCAATCCGTGACCTTGAGATTGAGAGACTCACACACTTACCACTCAGCCACAGTAGCTTAATAGGTATAAACCTTAGCGACAATTTAAGCAGAGAACAGACGCTGTGCATTCTCCAATGCTACATCGAAATTTCCAAATAAGTGAACACTTTTATTTGCGAGTTATGTTAGAAAAAAAAGAAGGTTCGTAATAACACACTAAGCTGATCAACAGATAACTTTGACATTGTAATCTTGCTCATTGTTTTAAAACCTTAAGTTTAATGGAAACCACTTATGATAACATCCTTTGATAACATGATAACCACATGGCTGCAACTGGGTTGAAAAATATCATTCTGATTTTTTCAGCGTGGCTGTAAACACTCTTCAATTAGGAGTAGGCTGTTGTGGAGTTGACAGCTACAATGATTGGGCATCTAGCACCTGGTCTCAAAATAGCACCGTTGCCCTTTTCATTTCATCAAACACAGACATCAATGGCAATTCCAACAACCAATTGTGGCCAGCTACTTGTTGCAAACTATCCGATGACACTTCTGAAGATTACTTTGATGATGGAAATTTAGACCCGACTGACGATGAGATCCGAGAATGTTATTCCGAACACCCCCTACCTTCTGAGAACCTCAACACCAAAGGATGTTTGGGGGAACTTCTCTCAATACTAAGAGCCATTTGCTTTTTACCGGCCGCGTTTTTATTTCTACTATCTATTCTATTATCCATGAACACACTGTTATTCTTTTTTATCTATCGAAGTTATAACAAACAAACCGTAAAGGAAATTTAATTACTCAAAATGAATAAATTTGTCTAGATAGTATGTTTCCGTTCTTCTGCAAAATTTAATTATTCAAAATGAATGAATTTGTCTAGATAGTAGGTTTCTGTTCTGCAAAAAAATGGTAGCTTAGTGTTTCAAGAGCTAAAAAGGAGTCTAAGCTTTTCAGTGTAGTTCAGTGTTTAGATCTTGAACAAAACCAAACCAAAATTCACATACGAAGTTTGAATGAGAGACTAGCGTACCTAACGCAGTAAAGCTGCTACCACAAACAGATCTTGCAGATGTACTACAAAATACAGCACAATAAAAATGCTAGACAATTAAGGTTAAAAAATTAATATAAATGTTTGGGAAGTTTCAGCCTCTTCTACTCGATTTTTCTGAATTTTAATACTAACATGGCTTAAATTTTCAAAGCAAATTTTGTATACTTGGATTAGCATTCATCGGCTCTGTCGTTTCGAGTTTAGAAAAAAAGATGACTGTGTTCAAAACAGGTTATCCTCGGTGGCATTTTTTAGACTGGATTCCGTAAGATTTATAGTCTCTACATATGCTGAACAATTCAAAAGTAAGCCACTTGCAGAGTTTGAGGTTCCAAGTCACACCATCTGAAAAAAGAGGGTAGACACCTTACCTTTCTCAAGCTCCGCCAAGCTTGATTCTAATACATGATTACTTGAAACGACTGGATCAGTACGGCCACCAATCGTGTAATTCAGAATATTAAATTGAAAAAATTAGGAAAAATTTTTTAGTTCATTGAAAGCCACTACAGCACTACAACATAGGGTTGAAATTTCGAACATATAACTTCACGTTTGTAAACTTTTGAAAACAACTCCAATTTCGAAAACTGAAGGCATCTGAGCAACCAAATTTAGAGGCCACATGCAAACTCTGCGAGTAACTTACCACCACCCCATCATAGTGTCAAGAATTACAAAAAGACGTCATATTTCCTAAACTAAAGGATTTTGAACAATGATACTTATCGAGGCTATGTCTGCAACTGCTGGGAGTACCCTGGCATCGCCCACTAAAGGGTCGACAATTTCTAACTTTGAGATAAATTTCCTTCAAAATCTCAAAAACGTCAAATCTCGGAAACTGAGAAGATTTAGGCGCGCAAACTCGGAGGCAAAACTTGAATTTCCTGACACCATTCTAAAACAGGATTATAAAACTCAAATTTTTCAAAGTCTTTTGAAGGTAAGTTTTGAAAAAATTATCGAGTTCCTTGACAAAACCCCTTACATGGTAGAAAAATTCAAGGTTTGTGGGATTTTTAACATCTGGGTTTTTTGAAAAAACCACAAGAACTGTAAAACCTCGAAAACTGAATGGATTTGGGTATTCAGAATTTGAAGCCATTTTGCAACCTATGGGAGAACTCTGATAGCACCCCACCACTTTAACCCCCGGGTTACTAATTTTAAAATCATTGAAGTAAACGCTGCAATGAAAAACGCCCATACTACTTCGTATAAAAGGATGAAATCAAACCTTTACTCTACTCAACACTGCGCTGCCCCCTGCTTCCCTCCCATGCTGGCATCTAAGCTAGAGCCTAAAGCATTGCATTTTCTCAAGCCTTGCTGTATACGATATAGCTTGACTATGCATAGATACGTTATGCGCTTAACCATTACAAAAAGCGCTTGGACACGGCTGTATACGTGCCACACGTAATTAAATATACTATATAGATTGATCAAGATAATAAATTTCAAAACTAAAGTAACATTAAAATCTTTATAAAAACACGAAAAACAGAAGATAAGCAATCTTTAGCATTGATGACCATTCACTTTGAACTAATTAAGTGAAGATAGACAAAAAACTAAGCATTTAAATAGTATGCATGTCGGTTTTCATTAGAAAAAAACCTTCCCTTGACGCCGTTAATAGAAAAACTAGATTTTGATGACCGCAATGGAGATACATCTAAAGTTGTTTTTTCTATGGGGTTTTCAAAAAGCATTCAACTCATCCTCCATGAGTTGTAACAGAAAAATGAACAAACATAAAATCTGAAGCCCGTAGAAAAAAAACGCCTATAGCCCAATCAGAAAATTTCGAAAAATTGCCAAAGACAGTAAAATTGCTAATACAATTACTGAATGAGAAATTTTGATTCAAGGAGTGCCACAATGGACAATTCTCGGACCAATAGCTTTCACCCTTTATGTTAATGATTTCAATTCAGTTTTGAATAATCAAAATCGAAAGCTTCAATTTGCAGATGGTACCAGTCTGATAGTGAACCAAAAATCTCCAGACGTAATGATTGAAAAAAACATGCAAAAATTTCTCGATGACGTCGACGCTTTAATGAAAATGAATCGATTGACTTTGTATTCAGAAGAAGTTTCAAAATACAGATATCTAGGACATTTCTTGGAAAAAGACCAAACCTTTTCAGTACACGTTGAAAAAATTTTATGCAAAATGGCTCAAGGTATCCGTTACAATCTCTTGTCAGTAACTTAGCACCCTTAAAGGTTCCGATAATTTTATTCATATCTTTAGTATTATTCCATATAACACATGAATCAGTTTTCTTACAAATAAACAAATTTCACAATTGAACAAAATAAGTAAGCTTGTAAAATCGATAATTAAAGTTATTGATTCGAAAAAAAAATTGACGTCGAAAATTTGATTACATCGACAATTTAAATTACGAGATTTCGAAAATGGGATAGAGCACGTGATTAACTAAGTAAAAAAACAAAATAATTCCAGCAGAACTATTGATAACGAAAAGGGGTCTTCATAAATCTTTCGATTGCATACCAAAAAAGACAAAAATCAGGAAAAGGTTCTAATCTACGCAACACTTAAGCTGCAGAGAAACAAGAAAGCACTACAGGTAATAACCAAGAGTCGATCGAACCACAACAAGTCAAAGAAACAGCGGCAAGAGGCTGCACTCTAAATGGAATTCACTAATTAAATAAATCAAACTAGTCACATCTCTCCAAAAATTTAGAGACCAAAGGAAGACAAACATTTTACAGAAACCCGAATCAGTCGCAATTGACAGATCACTTGAAGGAATCAGAAATAAATTCTTCCAAAATTTTTTTCTTTGTTAGCTATTTAATAATTAAAAAAACAATTGAGCACATGCAGTTTAATTTATACAAATTATTATTTGTAAAGGTAATCATTCGTAGACATAATTTTATTAGCCAAGAAGTTAAAGCTACTCCTGAAAGATGACATCGTATATCTAACAGAAAAATCGGTCAGCTTTTGGGATGTTTAGCTGGTTGTGAGGATGGCTGGATGTATCAATCGTTATTTGAACCATTGGCTGGATAAAAAAAAGGATGATTTGAATGCACAATGGATAGCTAGATGGACACATGTATGGCTGTCCAGATGATGGCAAGACGGCTAGTTGGATGGATGGTTGGACATATGGATGGCTTGAGTAATGCCTGGATCGAAAACTGACTGGTTGGATATATGGATTGCTGAATTGATGAGAGACGGAATGGATGGCTGGTTGATTGCAAGGATAGATGGGTTGATGGCTGGATAAGACTGGCTACATGGCTAGATGGATTGATGGCTAGATGGAAAGCGAGATGAATGGGTTGCTTGCTGAATGGATGGCGGAACTGAGAGATGACTGACTGGATGTGCCCTGGTGCATGGATAGCTTGTGGGATGGATGGCTTGTGGGATGGATGACTTGTTGGATGGATGACTTGTTGGATGGATGACTTGTTGGATGGATGGCTGGACGGATGATTTATTTGACGGAGATGGCTAGTTAATTAATAGCTAGATCGACCATGGACTACTGCAAGGATGTCTGATTGGATGCATGAACGGCTACATGGATGGATGCTTGATGGAAGGCTGGACGGATGGCTTGCTGAAAGAGTGATTTGCCGATTGATGAAAAATTGGCTGGAAGGCTGGTTGGATGGATGGATGCCTGGTTGAATAGATTGATGCCTAGATGAATGGATCGCTCGAAGAATAAGTGGCTTGATGTATGGATGGCTGATTGGATGGATGGCTTGATGCATTAATGGTTTGATCGATGAATGTCTCGATGGATGGCCCGATTAAAGAATAACTGGCCTCGTGGCTGGTTGGATTGATCGCTTAATGAATAGAAGGCTTGATCGACGGGATTATGCTTCATGAATGGATTGCTAGTTGAAAGAATAGCTAAAAGGAGTGATTGCTTGTTGGATAAATGGATGGCTGATTGAGTCTGACAACACTGCAAGGATCTGAGAAGTTAAAAATGGAGTCTCCGCCTCCAGCCTCGGTTAGTAAGTAACTTCACATTACACAGCCATAAGGTTAAAAAAATCAAAAACGGAAAGAAAAATTAAATCTGGGCTTCTTATATTTTTTTCTTAAACAAACGTCAAATCTAGATACCTAAAAAGGTTCAGGCGAACATCGTATGTGACCACGCTGCAACTGCTGGGAGTACCTTGCAATCGCACCAAAAAAAAGCTCGACAACTCAAGTTTTTAGTTTTGAAAAATCATTAAAACATCACAACTCGGAAATTAAAGGCGCTGATCAGTGTTTTTCTGAGGTTAGACATGCCACCCTTTAAGAGTCACCTGACAGCGCCCATCTGTAGGACTGAGAACTTCGTGAAACTTTTCAAATCTTATTTTTGTCGGATCTTTTTGAAGCATTTTAAAAACGACAAATCTCTTAAGCTTAAAGAACTTGAGCAGTTGAATTTGGAGGCAAGGTTTGCAACCTCTGAGAAACCCTGATCGCACCAATTTACTTCAGTGAGAATTTTCAAACTTCGAGAAATTTTATACATGAATTTTCCAACAATTTTTTTCAAAAAACTTCATACCAAAAAAAAAATTTGAGCAGTCATATTTGGAGGCAAAGAAAGTTTGCAAGCCCTGAGAATACCACTACCCACTATAGGCTGAGGACTTTTAAGATTTGAGGAAATCTTAGTTTCCAGAAAACTTTGAAAAAAAATTACAAAATTAAAATATCTCGGAAACAAGGTTTAGATACTCATGTTTGCAGGCGAATTTCACAACCCTCGGAGAACCCTGACAGCACACCACACACATTAGGGTAACCAACTTCAAACTTACTTAAAAAACGCTCTATTAAGAAAACTCCCGCAGTCCTCTTTTTACTCATCATTGCTACAGCCTTGCAATTGTGCTTTTCAATAGGCCTAGCAATCATAAACTAGAAAATCGAAAAAATTCTAGCATTGCAATAGACAATATAGCTTACACGTGCAAACATTCTTTCGTTAAACATGCAAAATTGAAAAAGCTTAAGCATGAGGAGATATCTGACAAACGCATTTAATTATAGTATAGATAGATTATTATGTTCTCCTGGAAAAAATTAATCTTCAAAACTGCCATGCAACATTAATACGAAAAACAGGACCAAAAACAGAAAATAGCACCACTTAAATAATGAGAAAATCATTTCGTCCATTATCTTCAAGAGGGCCACCAGAAAGCTGAAAGGTGCTATCAAGCTCCAGTAAAACAAAAAAAAACTCACGTTTTGAAAATTTTCAACTTCAGTTACAGACAAAAGCGTATCACCTTGAGGCTCTTCAACTTTCCACACTCCGCCGTCTCTCCTTTTTAATTGCAACTCTAATTGATAGCAGTTTTAATTTATCGCCCATGAAGAATATTTTCATCAACATTTTAAACCAAAACTCAAAAAAAAAACAAGGATAATTGACAACCGTTGTCTTCAAAAAACATTAACACAATTTGCCATGTTTTTAACAATTTTTTTGTCAGGCCAGAGCCAAACGAAGTTTTCAAAACTAGTTTTCATTCAGGAAAATTAAGTTTTTTTTAGCCTAAATGACCAATAAAACGAGCTATCATCACTTTATTTGCTCGCTTTTTTCCCATGTTTCCCGTTTTATACCTGATTCCGAGGAGTTCAAACTTGGAACTAGTTCCCAATTACAAGCACTTGCTTTCGCAAGCGTAATAAAAGAATCATGCAAAAATTTATTTGATACTGAACTAATTTAGTGTGTCACTATTTAGATACATAAATTAAACGAGACGACCATTTATTTTTCTGCAAAGCAGAAACGATTTCGCCAGCTGCCGATTCGCAATTGAAAACTTATTTATCCCTTTCAATTCATGAATAGGCGCAATATTATCCATGAAGAAATAAGGCTAGCATTGGATCGATTTAACGGGCGAAACAATAAACAAATATTTGTAAAAGCAGTCTAAGAAGTTTGCATGAGCATCATATTGATAGACATGAACAAGCACCTTTGAACGGGCAAAATCGATTTAATCGCTGTAAAATCGGGAAAATATCAATTTTAAGTCTTTCCTAGCTCATTACTTTGAATAAGCTGTTGACCCCATCAGGGCTGAGCGCAATCGGGATAGAACAGCTGCAGTAGTCGAAGCTGTTCCTCCTTCACTCGCTATAACATCGTCGTCGGGCGAGTAGTCAATCGGGACATTGTCTTCTGCTGCAACCCGTGAGCTACTGGCCATATCGTGACCTTCAGCGAAGCCGAGAATCTGTAGAATTCTTGGTGGCACTGGATCAGATGACTGCACTGGAGACGTTGCAGCGAATGTATAGAAGGGTGACGTGTAAATAGGCGATGCGGATGTAATCTGATGACTGTTTGCACCGGTTGTTGCGGCTGGAGTCTTGTGCGAGGATTGTGCTGCGACGGCGGAGCTGCAACTACTGCACAAGACGGCAAGTCCCCCTGTGGGTTTACTCGGAGTAACCACAGAGCTAGCTTTCTTTCTCACAGCAGCGGCGTCTCCTCGATTGAAAACCATATTTTTACTCCTGAAAAACGAATTGAAATTGATTGATCCATTTAACCGAATAACAGTCAACTCAAAAATTACACTGTGACACTTCTGTTCAAAGACTAAACTGTAGGTGAAATTGATTTAGAAAAAAAACAATTCGCGTAGCTTTAAGACAAACAGCAAAATACTCATTATTCCCCAGCTTATTTAAATGACGGTCAACAGAGATCCAATTTTTTCCCCGAATATCCAAACTGAGCAAAATTGAGGAAAAAATTAACGTGGAAACAGTCATGGAACTACCTTCCATAAAAAATGATTCACCTTTTTCCGGCTCTATGTTGCAAAGATCCATTTGTTTCCGAAGATTTTGAATGGTTTCTATCTTCAAAATGAGATGGCGCAGAATCGTTTTGCTCGGAAAATAACGACAGACGTTGAGATCCTTAACAACAAAATCAGCAGTACAACAACACATTCAATAGCACGATCGAATCAACGGCAACAGAAAAATCAATTTCTGAAAATAGGCAAAATAATACTTTCTCTAAATTGATGCAAGGTTGTACGGCTATAGGTTTATTACTTTGTCTAACCATTCATTGAAAGCAATTAAATATTTTTACTTACTATGACTGTTATCCTTTCTATTACTATACTGCAGATCATCGTCTTCTTCAACGTCGTGAAGAGACGAGAACACACTTTGTGAATCGTTAAAATCCACTTCTGTCGAATTCATGAAGCCCCCACCACCAACTGAAGGGGGAATAACACCACTGGCAGCATCGAAAGAACTATTGGCTGCACTGCCCACCACTGAAAGCCCCGACTCGCCTCTGGCCACTACACCTGGTCTCTGGTCGAACAGAGCCTGTGTCATGTCCGTAGAAGCCAATTTCTGCCACTGTCCCAAGGTCTCGGATCCTTAAAACAAATCAACCAAAAAAATTATGTTTTCTTTTGCATGCTGACCATTTCGCCAATTCAGTAGCATTTTTATGATATCCTTTTTTGTAAAATTTAATGTACCTTCTAACGGCTTCACAATCTGCAGTTTCTCTGGACGACCACGGTGAGATCGCCTTGTGGGACCTCTAAGCCTGTCTCCACTCAACACGGCTCTTGCAGGAGAGACCTGACTGACAGATGAGCCCAGGTTCGAGTAAGAGGGAGAGGGCTGTCTGTCTCTCGCTTGACCTACTGATGTCGCTGTCACGTCACTGATGACGCTTTCTGTCGTCTCGTTGGCCGCGTCCGAGTCACCCAGGTGGTCGTCTGCATGTTGTTTGGTCCTTTCACTCTTGTGACCACCTCTGCCAGAGTAATGTTCGCTCATTACGGCTGTAGTAGACGAGCCAGCCCGTTCAATCGATCTGCCATGCGGTGAACCCAAAGAATGATTTAGCCATCTAAACGAAAAAAAAGTCCGAATTGAAGAATCGTACAGACTAAAGATATGATAATTTATCAAGACATATTAACTAACAATTGATACGTGCAATGCGTTGAATCAGTGCGTTAGTAGAGAAAACATCAAGCATCAGTTGACGGGATACACGATACTAACCCTTCAACGAACATCTCTTTGTCGGGTCGTGAGCTGGTGTCGGACCTGTCATTCAAACCCCCCATGCACTTAGCAGACTGCCTATACAACAAAGTTAGAGGATAGAGAGACACTACGGGTGATTGATAGGAAATAGAAGTGAGTGCACCTATTGCCAAACTACGTCTAAGATGAACAGTTTATTTATTAACAGCCGCATTTTTAAGCAAGCATGTAAGTGTTAACGACATCGTGGCATTAGGATATACCTGAACATTTTGTAGTCCACTTCGTTCTGTCGCGATGCTCCTAGCCTTCTGATAGAATTTTGCATGTCAGCATGAGTAGTACTTATTCTTTCAGCTCCCACTCTACTGCTGGTCCCACCTCTGCAACAACAAAAAATCGTTTCAATTTTCAGAAATAATTGCATCAACTCTGCTAATCATGTCTTTTTTTGCAAAAAAACGGTTTTATGCCTGGTATCTTTCTAAATATTACCATGTAAAATGCTGATTTTCTGGCTTCAATGCCAACACAGCTAGAATACCACTACTTCATTGAGCTTTATTATAATAATGAAGTAAAAAAAACCTTGTTTACCTATCGTTAGTTTGAGGCACAGGATCTTCTGACAGTACAGCGTGGTGTCGCATTGGGGAGGGTGTCGTTGCTCCGAATGGATAGTACTTGTTCTGATTGGTGGGCGTGGCCATGGCAGCCGAGAGGGAGAGAGGCCCTGTGTTGGACCCGGGGATCTTGTCTCTCCTGTGCCTCTTCCCTATCCGAGACGTCACCATCTCTCTCACTGCCTGTCTGGCCTGCGCGTTTCTGCAAAACATTATCTAAGTTTAATTATTCAATCAGAAGTGACCTAAAACTAAAAACCTAGCCTATAGTCGGCTGTAAGTGGAAATGACTTCAATGAAGACATGTTCAATTTATTTCAAGTTAAACACAACTTTATTACATTTCAAAAAATACATGTTCTTAAGAAATTTCAGCGATTGATATATGATTTTAAGGTTTTAACGCCATTTGCATCTTAGTTTTCAGAAAGCGCTTTCCATTTAGCAAACTAACTTCATTTATTATATAAGATAGGAATCAAGTCAAACCGGGAAAAAATCAAGTGTGTACTAAAAAACCTAACGACCTAAAAATTGATAAAACCACCTCATTTATAAATATTTGATCAATTCAACTTCAGCTTAAAAGAACCATTTCAATGGTCAGTTTTGATTCTGTCGGCAACTTTCTGAGTTGAATCAGCTCTGGAGGCTTCAAATCAAAAGAGATCTTTTCGACAAATTCAATTTGAAATTAGAGAGCGGATTTTGAGAGATAATACATTGATTTTTTAGAGACAGGTGAGAGTCAAGTAAGCATATGATCACTTAAGGTGATAAACTACTTTGACAAACAACTTACGAGTTGGACTGCTGTAGGGGTGGAACTTCAACTGGATTCAAAGCACGCTGCAACTCACTTGCCAGAGACTGCTGTAACAGAAACAAAGAGTAATATTTCGAGATCCGTGACAACTTTTGGGTGTGAGGCGCATCTTCGGTACTACAACTGAATTTTTAGGGTAGCACACGTCAAAAAATTGCATTACCGGCCAAAACCAAACACTTAAAAAGCCATGTAAAGGAAATTAATTTCAAGTAATAACAAAATTTCACATCACCAAAATGTATAAAAATATTTTTCATAATCATGCAACAAAAACAAAATTTAATTTGATTTATACAAAAGACAACTTGGTAGACAATCAATGTAACAGCTTTGAAAGTGCTCCAACTGTTTTTTACAAAATTTTGAACATAAACCAACATTCTCAATAGATTTTAACAATCTCAATGGCACCTTGTAAACGAACATCTGGAGAGAAATGCATGACAAAAGTACAAATTGCACAAATATTCTGATGACTAGGAAGAAGTCTCAGTTAATAAATGTAGGCTGAGTAGTCGCTTTTAGCTGCTGTCGAATCTGCTGGTGCTGCTGTATTTGTGCAGTCAGATTGTCTGTATTCGTTGCCGCGGTGTTCAGATTCGTCAGCGAGTTGCGACTAGGAAATTGTAGCACCACATTCGGGTTCACGCCACCCGCTGCTTTTAGTTTCTGGAATTCCTTGCGCTGTTCCATCTGTTCTCTTTGGAGTGCCTTCACTCTCTCTCGATTCTGTTTTCTAGTTTGGTTTAAAGACAGAGACCTGCCGCCTTGTCCTTGACCACCACTTGACACTGACATGTTATCATTGTCATGTTCGGTCACTATCGTATGACCATTGGCGACTCCATTTCCAGTTCCATTCCGCCCTCTTTGAGAATTACGCTGTCTATTTCTCCAAACATGACCGTATGGGTTCTTCTTTGGATGTGATGACAGAATCTGATTGACTCGCTGAAATATAAAGGTGCGACTAAAAAACATGTTAAACTCACAGGCGGTGATGTGTCGCGTAGACTACGGGTATTAGTAGGATGAGCATCAACACATGAGTCGTGCAGAGCAGTGGCAGGCGTGCTCTTGTGGTTCAGAATAATAGCGGCGCTTTTCATGCTTTCGCCCCCACCCACAGATAGAGCCGCATTAGCAAGCAGTAGGTTATTTTGGCGTATATAGTTAGACAGCTCTGACTGGGTGTCTTGCAACATGCTCGCACACTTCTCGTAGTCTTGTTTCACTTGCGAGAGCTGAAAAACACCAACGATACACCACACAACATAAACACCGCAGATATAAATCATAGAAGACCTTTCCTAAGATTGCTCGACAATGTTTACATTCAAATGCCTTGATTCCAGCATGAAAAGATGCAGACAGTGAAACCAAACAAACAGTTCAACTGATTTTTTTTCACTTTGCATTACTCTATTACAAAAGGCATAAGCATTAAAATGCAAAGCATTAAAATTACAGATCAGGAACTCAATTGTAAAATAACAAAAGAGTAGCCACTTGCTGTGCAAGTAGCTAAGAAAATTCATTACACATAGGCGAAGCTGAGCTTCGCATCACTTGCGATCTATAATTGAATGACTATGATTGGAATCAAATAAAAAAACTTCAAAAATCTACTTATACCAAAAAAAAAAATTGCAGCCCAAACTATACGAACAAACTTCAAAATTACTTTCACCGTAATAAACTTTACAAAAAGCTTTCCGAACTTTCAAAGAATTCCTTTCCGCAGGAACTAAGTCAGAAAAAATAGGCAGACATAAAAATCTTAAATTTGCAAAGAAACGACCCAGCTAGAATCGAACTCCTAGGCTTTGTCATCTCAATTTGGACGAAAACTGAGACTTCAAAAAAATCGATCTGTGAGAATCAAGCCAACAAAAATAGGCAGACGGACGATAGTCCGAAAAAGCACACAAGACCAAGTTTGTAAAAAAAACAGGTCCCGGTTGGATTCGAACCACAGGCCTTTGCCATCAAGTAGGTGTGTTACCTCTACTCCACATGCGCCGGATGGTTAACTGAATTTGAAGTTAAAATCAGAAACCATGCTTTCGAACGAAAACTAAAACAAATATAAAAAAATCGCTTAGAAGTTTTTTCTATTCAAACTGAAAGTTTTAGCGTATATCAAAAGGCGTGTTAAAAACGTGTGTGAAACAGCATACATTGTGTTATTTTCTTCGATTTGAAGTTAATAACCAATTGAATACAATTTTCTAAAAAAAAACACCCATCAAATAGGCCGACAAAAATTGGGCCCAAATAAATTAAGCCTACAAATAGAATAACTTTACAATTGACTTTTTTATCAGTAGATCCAGTAACGCATTAACTCTAGACAGATTAACTATAGGCCTTAACTCTAGGCACTGTTATATGTCCAACGTGCTGAAAAATAGATCTCTAAATTGGAAATCAACCTGTGAAGTTGTTTACGGGAAAAACAGTCTAATACCCGATTGCAATACCCTTGCTTATCACAATATTAGAAAAACTTAAGCACTCGGAAACAAAGTCCCTCCCACTTTCAGTCGTCGGAACAAAGATCATTTGATGGCATGGTTTTAAAAATCCCGTTTTAAGAAAAAGAAATAACGATAAGTCTTGACACTTAATACATCGCCAACAGACGGTTGGAAAAGTGCCAGTGAACTCAAGGAGACCACAAATTATAGCCAACAGACTGTTGGAAAAGAGTCAACGAACGCAAGAAAAAAATATCGACTTATTGAACTACTGAACTTCAAAAAAAAATTGACTTTAAGCTCTGAATTTAAAAATGACTTTAAAATTGTCACTTTATAGATAAAATTGGCCTATTTTGAGATAACTGGATGAATAAGTAAATTTCTTATTCCACTGAGAAATCTGAAAACTAAAATCCAATTTCAAAACAAGAAGTCGATCACGTTTTTGTGAAATTTACACTTTTGCTGCTCGACAGTGAATTTTTCATTCCTTTTGACCAAGGAAATCAACTGAACTAAAAAATAAATCATAATTCAAAACGCTAAAAACGTACATAAATTTTAAAGTTTTTCTTGAAAAAAAACATCACCACCTATATAAAGGCCTTAACTACGTTCATTGACGCTTGGTTGATAGTCGTTTTCAAAAAAAACCTTTGAGTTGCAGGAGAAAAGTCAATCACTATAGCACTCTTCGAATTTCAAAAAACTTCTATTATTGCCAATATATGTATAAAACTAACCCAACTTGAGAAAACTGGATAAATAGCTAAAAAAATTTATTCAGCTGGGAAGTCTTCAAATTTAAACCCACACTCAAAACTAAAAATCAATCATCCACATCTCGTCATATGCAATTTTGTAAAGAGAGAGCGGGATAAACTTATTTTACTCTTCTAAAAAACACGCCATATAGAAGAGAATTGTCTATTTAAACACTCTGAAACTCTTGGTTTTTTGAAACAGAAAACACAATAAAAAAAGAAAATAAAAAGCACAGCCAAGAGAGTTCGAAAAGTGTTCAGAAAAAATACAACAAGTATCACTTTTTCAATCTTTCAGTTTCAAAGAAATAACTTAGCCAACAGATATTTGGAAAAGTTTCATTAAACTCGAGAAAGCAGAATTCGAGAAAAACCAAAACCAAACCAATTGGAGAAAAAAAAGGATTTTTATGAGGTTTCCCAAATTTAACTGGGAAATCATTAAATCAAAATACCCATTGAAAAATAAAATAAATCGCATTTTTGTATGCCAAAAATTGCCTTCTGCTTGGCATTTGAAGTTGAAGTGATCTCAAACCGAAATCATTAAGCCAAACCGCGAAAAAACACTTTCGATCGAAAACAGCCTCTTCAAATTTTTGCTTTAAACTAAAGCAAAAAACCGAACAACCTGAAAAAAAATATATAACTGAGCTAAATCATTGACACTTCAAAGTCTATCATCTAACAGCTGTTGAAATAAAAGTCAAGCTTCAAGTCTATTGCAATGAGGACAACGAATTTGAGCTCGAAAATATTCTTATAGTCCTCTAAAAATACAAGACCTAAATAGGTAATTAAATAACTCGTCGTCTATTGAAAGAATTAAACAATATTCAAAAAATTATTACTGAAATCGATAGTTAGTCCACAAACTTTGGATCAAGTAATTCCATGTTTTGCCTAGTTTAGTTCATCAAAATGAGATAGAAGTAAACAAACATGGAAACCACACAAAAGTGATGATAATAGTTATTCTGTACAAACTTTTCTGCTAAACCCCACAAATAAATAGCAGCCCAAAACGATGGAAAAAAATCGTTTTTTTGATTTTTTTTCATTGACTAAGAAGCGCTAAAGGAATTTTAAATACTGGAGCAAGACTTCAATAACCAATTTTCATCTAGCAAACGCTGAAAATTTATTACATCGTTGGAATCACGACTTGAAGAGCTTTAAAATATATCATTCTACCCATTCTGATGATGATGTATTTTAAAAAAAAAAAAAGTAGGAAAGAAAAAAAACTAAAACAACGGAAACAAAGTTTTATGAAACTTTCAGTGGTCAGGACAACAAGATCAGCTGGTTGCTGTGCAAGTAGAGCAAGAGCCTCTAATCACTTATTTTTGCAAAAAAAAAGTTGAAGAAATCAAATCTTATGTTTGTTTCAATTTTTTTTTTACTTCTACCGCTTTTCTCCATGGTAAGAGGTAACAAAAACTAGCTTGCAACCAATAACCAATAGCTTGATAAAACTATAACAATAAAACCATATCAGTTTTCACAAGTACAGCAGGAGGTTCCAGTCAGTGATTTTTGCAAGAAAAAGAGTTAAAATCATATCAAGGTTGTTTCAATTTTTGAAACCATAAACTTTTACCATATCTCAAGATTGATTCAATTTTTGAAACCATGTTAACTTTTACTAGAAATGAATCAATATGAAGAATCACACTTCTCTCTACATTGGTCTAAAAACTAATTTTCAAACCCTTTTTTCTCTTGATACTGAGAACCTTTTTTAAATATTTTTACGATCAATCGAATTATGTCTGTAAAAACTTTAATATTATATAAAAAACCTTATCAGACTTTTTTGTGGAGCCTGATTTTATGAGAAAAACGTTCTAAATAAAAATGGAACACACACGAACGCAAACCAACTTCGTGGTTGGTCGCAAAAAAACAGCTAGAATATCGAAAATACATTTAAATGACTTAATATTTCCCATAAAGAAAAACTCGAATCCAACTTATCAAAATAAAAAAATAACCGTGAACAACACAAGTCATAAATTATCAGCGAAAAACGACAAGAAATAAATTTTCGTCACTGATAAGTGCCTTCACTTTGCTTAATTACTTTCAAAAAACTGACACAAGTACATGTGACAAGATGAGTGCTGAGACATGAGCTGTTTATAGACGTTACATGTATTTAATTTGCGCAGAGAGAAAAATAGCTACTTTCAAACTACGAAGAGTCTCCAAAAACGTTTATATCGTTTGATACCGTGATTTTAATCAAATTATTAATTGTTTAAATCTGATATTTCATCCAACAACAAATCGCCCATTCATTTGGACATCAGTTAATTCAGTAAAAAAAGGCTATGAAACCGCAGATAAATCTACCACACTTTCAATCAGTTTCGCTAAATGCATCACAAATGACAAACTAGCCTAGCCAAGAGAAAATGCGATGAAAGCGAAAGAAAAATTGATTGAAAACATAGCCATTGACTGGAAACGACTGATTATTTTTGATATTTTCAAATATATATCCTTGAAGATCTTTGATTTTCCAGGGCCTTTTTTACGATTGGCACTTGATAAACTAATAGCAAAAAACTGATAAAACTAGAGCAACATGTACTTTTTTCCGGAAAGCTAAGAACCAAAATCAACTGTCTAAACTAAAAAAAGGGTGAAAGAATCATTTGTGAAATGAGGACTAACATTTTTATTCAAAAATGTTTGTTTTGGAATAAAATCAGAAGCTCCATATACTTCTATCACGAGAAAAGAAAATCGAACAAAGTTCTAAATCGAGGATCTTGCACCATTGCGTTACTAAATTGCCATGAACTTCAAATAAAACAATTAGTTTTCGAATCATTCAATAGAAATACCGAACTGTGACAAAAACCCGAGAAACGACAAAGTTTTTCAAAAAAAAACATTCTGTATTATTAGCAGGCTATCACTGAGAAAAAATCAAGAAAGGAATAAAAAACCAACATTTCGAAATGCTTGTGAGGAGAGCTAGGAAAAAACAATTCACAAAAAAGGATTTTTGGTTTTTTAAGCAGTGGTTATTGAAAAAAAAAGAAATTTTCTAAAAGATTTCACGAATCGACAAAAATCGTAAAAAAGCTTTTTGACTTCTCTTAAATGTGGATAATCTACAGGAGCAAAGCTGTGGCAATCAGGCCGAGCAAAAATTAGGTAGACATTCTTTAAGCCGGAAAACTGGTTCATACTGCAGAATTACCGAACAAAATTTATCTTCATCTCACGTCGGGTGCACAACCCTAGATACATTAACCTTATCCGAAGCCAGCAGAAAACTTCAATCAGTTGCTACTTTTCAGTTTTTTTTTCAGATTTTCTTGCAAATCTGAAAAGTTGTTCAATGGAAAAAGTGTAGTTACCGATTACAAGACGTTGGCGACTGTAGGTTTTGGTTTAGCTGTGTAAAGTAACTCAGCGATCAGGTCCCGGCGGGTGCGACTCAATGCATACAAATTAAGAATTAATTGCATTGCAAGAAAATTTTGAAGAAAAAAAACGCTGAATCGAAAATCCTGGCAAAGAACAAGTAAATTGTTACACAAATTATCCGAGAACAAGCATATCCTTTAACTTCTGGACACAAGCCTTAGAATGAAGGAAGTGGTAAATTATTCAGTAAATAAAATATTTAGACCACTAGCTACATTCAGCCGGCAGCACTGTTGTGCTTTTCGAATATGAGATTTGTTAACAATACTTACATTTTTGACTTTCCCATACATAAAGGAATGCCGAGTCAAGTTTTAGAGAGCCATTCGCAAGCCTTTATACGAAGAAAAAAGTCCGACCAAATTAAAGCTAAACTATATTACCTTTCTAATGTATAATGGAGTCAATAAAGACCTGCTACATATTTCATAATTCTGCATAACAGATATATACTATAAATATTTGTTTTTGTCAAATAGCTTACTAAATTATTCAAACCAATTCCTCAAAAACCCGGAAAAGTATTATATACAAATTAAACATTGACTCATTGAACAATTAGCGGGCAAAAACACACCCGAAGCAAAGAACACCTTTAACTAGTTCCAAGAGGATAGCAAAAAGCTGCCAACAGAAACCCTGTCATTTGATACATCATACATAATATGATCATAGAGAAAACATCGCATGCGGTTACGGAAAAAAGTTAAATGCACATTCCATGCTGCCTATCTATCTCTCTAACAACAAGAAAAGACTAAGTTAGGACATTACCTCTTGGGCTAGATCTTCAGTACACTCATGCAGTGTCTCCAACTCCGACATCACATTTTCGTACTCCACTGTCAGCTAGAACAACAACGCAAAATGGTTTGTTATTATATAGTTCAGAAGTTTTTAAAGCTTCCTGGTTTTTTTTTCATCCAAGAGAAAATATGCATTTTTCAGTCACTTAATATGTACGAAAAATTGTGCACATCACCAGACATTTTTAAAAAAAATGAACTTTTAGTCGTTGTTATTCCATTCTTTTAAGCACAGAGGCGAACCTGAGCTTCGCACCAATTGCGATATAAAACAAGAAACTCTATTAAAATGGATAAAGCTAGTTTTGAAACAAAACCGTGCAAATGCACAAGAATGTAAAATAAGCATCGAAAGAAAATTTATCAAGCGGAAACAAAGCCGAAAATGCTTTAGCAGAAACCCTTTAGGCCGACTAAAGTTAAATAAGACTTATAAAAATTTATTAATTCCCTTAACCTCAAAAATCCACACAAAAACTTTATTCGCGCGTCGATTCAAACAATATGAGGCCAGGCCACTATGCCGATATAATATAGGCCGAAACCTATTTAGCCAAAATAGAAGGTAAAAGCCAAAAAAAATTCAAAGAATTTAAGACCAATAAAAAGTTATTAAGTCCCCCTCACCCTGAAAACACACACACACACACGCAAATTTTTTCGCTCGTCTAACCAAGCAATATGAGGTCAATATGACCTAATAAGCCGGAAAAAAAATAAAGACGAAAAAAAATTTTTGGCCCCTTAACACGCACACCAAAAAACTCTTTAGCTTGTTTCGCTTGTCAGGCGACGCAATATGAGGCCACTACGTCGATATAACATATGCCGAAACCTATCAAGCCGAAAAAAAAGAAAAAAAAACAAAAATGAAAATTCAACAAATCTAGTTGATAAAATTATAACCAACATAAAAAAAAATTTCGAATTAGACAGATACTCAAAATGCTAACAAGCTCAAAATATAACTGTAGCGGTAAATTTTGGAACCTGATCTAAACTATATTTTATGATTGGATAAATTAAATGTTTTACCAATGTAAAGTATTTAATATTAACCAATCATGATCCATCTAACTAACAACCCACTTATTTGTAAGTGCTGAAGTTACTTGTAATTTCAGCACCAGAGAGATTTGAATTTAACTTAGAAATTAGTTGGACTCTCCCGAGCACTTCAGCAGCCGCAATAAACCAGTATACCCTAGATCTATTGAGCCTAGCAGAGACTAGTTAAACAACCTGAGACTAGATAGTATAAGAGTAAGATTAGGATCGGTATTAGACTAAGAAGTTGCACGAATCTATCCGGCCGAAAATAAGATAGCGTGACGAGCAGACGGTGTACCCTATCCGAAATTACTCTATGAGTTACACTTCGGTCCTAACTCATCTGGTGCGACCATAAGTCTCGAACAAGACCTTATTAGATTAGAATTAACCAAGAATAGATTAGAAATTAGACAAAAACATTTACAAAATGTTATACGACAATAATTTAATTGAAATGTCTCTCCGACTCAATAGATCAGAGCCAATATTCCGAACCATAATAGAACTACCCGGAATTGGAAGAAGACATCGAACCAAAGACGACATACGACAAAGTAGAAACTTGCCGTATAGTTATATGATAGTTCGGCAAAAGCCAGAACAAACTTTTATATTTCGAATACTACTTGCAATGAATTTAGACTTCCATTTGCAAACATAAAACCTTGAAGCTAATCTTCAAAATCATTTCAGGCGCTAAACAAAATTAATATTATACAATAACGATTGATAAAAAGATCTAAGATCGTTTTCTTAAAATTCTGCAGTATTATACAAAACATGTTTGAAAAATATTTATTGGAAAATAAAAATAAAAATTAGTAGCATGACAATAAATGGTTAGTAATCATAAATCATCCTGTTGTTCCAGCTTCATCACCTAAAACATAACAGCAATCATAAACCCACTAATATCATCAAAACACTAAATCTTTCCTTTACACAAACTTAAAACTTTATTAAAATTTAAAGTCACTTAATTTTAAAACCAGATCATCAAGGCTTATCCTTGGATCTTAAATCATTTTCTACTTAATTAAATCTTAAACTTGATCATCAAGGCTTATCCTTGGATCAAACAGAACAACTTTGTTCTCCCCCACCCACTTAATTAGTGTCTAACGACCTCAAACGTCGATTCACTACCCAACCCTTTCTAAAGACCCAAGACTAATAGAAATTTTTAAACAAAACTAATCATTCAAATTAGGATAAACAGTGAAGAACTTCGGTTATTCATCCTTCACTTGACCCCCCCTCTTACCAAACCCAGGATAAATCTTAGACTTAGTAAGTTTAAAATAGTATCTAACGAACTACTCGCGTTCTAATTATACCTGAACCTTGTGGATCGATTTACTATTCTCCAACCCTTGAACACAATCACTCCCTTAAGTAAGATTAAGTAAGTTAACACCTTAGCTTATACTAGTCACGAGAAAGTAAAAATCATTCTTCGGAATCGATATACTTTTCTCTCCAACCCTGAACAAAAAGACCCAGGTTAAGCTAACCAAAAAATCGTAAGAACTAACAGTTTAAGAAAATAGAAATCATTTAACAACCTTTTGCATCCGTCATCCTAAACCTTATGTCATTTAAAAACCTAGGAAATAAACAAACAATCATTTTACACAATTGTGAAATAGATAACAAAAAATACGACCTTGTAATCACACCTCATACACAAACAGTTGGATACATTCGCACAAAACGACAAACACTAAAGAGAAAAATAATAACTAAACAAAGACAAATAACACGAAAAAGATTTTCAAAGAATCGAAACGCATTTTCAGAATCAGAAACCAACAGTTTAGACGAACTTTACAAACTAAAAGAATCAGTAGATGAAAATTACCCACTTCACGATCAATTATATTTTTCTGACTCAGAAACAACTTCAAATTCATCACAAAGAGGAAAAAGAAGAATAAAAAAGCAGTACAAACACAAACCAGTACATCTATACAATTGGAATCAACCAATTCGACACATTAATAATTACATATTAACAGTCATCGAACGAAAAAATGAGCTCAACACACACTCCAGGTGAAGAAACTCCAGATGATGATGAAATCTTTCCCTTTATAGTAGACGCAGATACTGATAGAGGACAACACATATTTTGTCAAAATTTACTCGTAAATTTATTTGAACCCGGAATTAGTCCATGTAAAACAGAGTTCCCCGATGTAAAAATCAAAAGACAAATCATAGATCACTATCTAAAAGATATATGCAACATAACACAACAGTATGGAATCTACTCTATAGAATTCACTTCCCCAAACCATAATAATAGAACATATACAATCCAAACAGACGATCTCGATTTAGAATTTTCAAAAGTTTTTTCAGAATATATAAAAAGCATCCAATACCATAACTCACAAAGAGCAAACTCCATTTTCACCAATGAAGTTTTCGCAATAATATATAGTTATATTTCAATATTAGAAAATGAACTACCATTAACAAATGTCTCACCGACAGACACATCTAAACATTTAAGAGTACGACATGAAATCACACTACTCTCTAGTTATTTAAACATCATTAAAGAAAATTTCACGAAAGACGATGTTTCACAACATACCAAACACGATTTACAAAAAATTTTAGCATGGTTCATAATAGATTATTTCACACACAATATTGATTTAATTGCACAAGCAAGAAAAAATTTTAGACCCCAAAATTCGAACGATGAAACCGCTATCACAGAACAATCAGATTATGTTTGGGACCCCGAATGGTCTCATCCCGCATTTATAAGCTTTCCACAATCAATCTCAAGTCAAGCAATAAGTACAATATCTTACATAAGAGACTATGTAAGAGTAATACCATTAACAATTGATGCAACACCATTAAACTATAATACATTTTTACCCGATACACAAAATAATAGTTTAAACTCTACAGTCATACACAATGAAAACCTCAATGGAACTAGGAATCTTACTCAACAAGATATCCAGACACCATCACACTTCATAAATGAAGAAATTGTACACACAACAACTACACAACAAAGTATTTCACCAATACGCCCAAATTTAACAACACCAAGAAATACAAATCCTTCACAAACACAGGTAACCTTACAATCAACCGTAAAACCTTCGGTTGCCCCTAAATATTCACATATGGATTATCAAACATACAAACCCGTGACAATACCATCAAAAACACGCAAAACATTCACTAGAAACAACTTTGCAGACCATAATTATAATTATACACATCCGTCAAAAACAAATTATCAACCACAAAGGAATTTTAATCAATATACAAAACCTCGAAACTGGGATAACCCAACAGCCCAATATAATTCAAATAATTTTCAGCCAAATCCTCCACAGGATCGCAGTGAAAATTACCCATTTTTTCAACAAAATAAAAATAAAAAACAAACATCTTATCAAATGGATTATTTATCCTCAGATGAAGATTTCCTACAACCAGATATATTTGCACAAAATACTCAAGAATATCGTAGACAAGGAATACAGAAAACACGTATAAATCATAGGAATTTTTCTCCACAACCAATAGATGCACAACATCAACAATCAATTCAACAACAAAATCCAATTAATACACAATCCTTTCAACCAATTCAACAACAAAATCCAATGATTGCACACTCGTATCAACCATCACAAATGCAAAATGAAATACCACTACCATATTATCTTCAACAACATGAAATAACAAGAAACCAACTTTCAAATTTTTCTCAAATGCCAAATGCAGCAGAATCATTACAAATGACAATGAATCCATACCTTATGGGTGGATCATCAATAACATCAAACAAACCTTTAATGGTTTTCACAGGAACAGACCCTGAATACTCTGTAGAAGATTATTTAAATGCAGTAACAGCAAACCTGATTTTAAATATCGGACCTGAACCAATAAATACGCCACTACATCAAAATTGGATACATCGACGCACAGCGTTAATACAAACAACCT